TCAGGCTTCCTCTTGAATATGTTTAATAAGCATTCAAGGCTACAAGTTTCCCTTTGATTACAACTTGGGTGTATCCTGTTGTTTTTAATATATAGTGTTCTCATTGACATTTACAATTTGTGTTGTTTTGATTTTTTTCCTCAACCTCAGTTAATAGAAGTGGGTTTAAGAATGTATCAGATGGGTAGATTTATTTCTTTGTGTTCATTGGATTAATTTACAATTTTGAGGTACTGTGCAGAGTATGGTTTTTGTTTTTTGAAATTTGAGATTCTTTTTGTGAATGATCTATAGATATTTGAAAGGAAAGTATTTTTTTGATACAAAGTTGTATTTGTTTAATAGGTCCACCTTATTAGGTGTGATATTCAGATCTTCTGTATACCTTTATTTTGTATGGGTGCAAATTTCTGAGATGTGTCATTCTCCCATTAATTTGTAGATATGCTGATTTCTCATTTATAATATTTTTGAAGCATATGTTGGTGTCATTGATATGATCCTAACATATGCACATATTTCTTTTTGTTCCCTTTTAATGCTTTGTGTTTGACGTCTGCTTAGTCTGCTAGTATTGATTTGCTTTCTGTTCAGTTGCTTGATACAGGGGCACTGATGCCGGGGTTCTTGTTTGCAGAGCCGAAGAATGAGCTTCACAAACGGTCAAGGTAGGAGAGCAAGGTACAGGCTTTTATTTGGAGATAAAGTGAAAGGACAGAGCTCCTGGCTCACGCCAGGAGGGGACAAGAGAGTCCGTAGTGGTGCATTGTCTAGGGGGTTTTTATAGGCAGTTGAGGATTTTTCGAGAACATGAAAAAACTTAGGTGTGGGGACTTGTTAAGTGGTCCCTGAATATTAAAAATTAACTTAACTGTAAGGAATTTCCTGCCTTGATTTCTCTCTGGGACACCGGCGCCTTGGTCTGGGAGCATATCAAAAGGCTGCCTGCCCAGCCCCCAAGGTGGGCTAAGGTATTGTCTACTTGCTAAAGAATCTTGCCTCTCGAACTTCCTGGGTGTTAAAATGCAATCTTATCTTTAAGATGGAATTCTTCTTGCCTTTTACCATGCCGTCTACAGCTGGCTGTGCATGCTAAGTTAGTTGCTCAGTTTGCAGAATTACCTCGTCAGATCTGAAGGAGAAAAGACAGCACATAGGCCTGGGCCTTTTAGTATGCTAAAGTGAGTCTTACACATAGTTACAAATGATTAGCATAATAAAACATGTGCTACTCTTCTTTATCTGGGGAACATTAACTGATTTCACTGAAGAATGATTCTAGAGCTCAATGTTTAACATAGTTTTAGCAGAGGGGTGGTTTCCTTGCATGTAGTTAGAGTGCTTTGACTGCAAATATCCTGCCCTGCCCCCTCTGGAGCCCCTCACCCTACTCTGACTACATCTATGGCCCCTGTCTCAGCACCATCCAGGCATTTACTTTGCTTACCCAAATTCAACTATATAAATGTTGCAACTGAGTTTAATGAAAGATGCCAGTGATACCTACCTACTGATTCTGTAGTTGGATTATATAATTGCAAGTGAACATGGAGATGAGAGTTGTGTATCTTATTTCCTTGATAAATCACTGTTGGGAGGGGTACCTCATACTATGAGCATAAGAGTCCCTATTAAGTGCGGTGCTGGTCTTGCAGGGTAAGGTTTGACTGAATTCACCATACACCATGGCTCCTAAGTGTGAATTAGCTGCAGTCTATGTCAGCTTCAGTGAAGTGTTTAAGGTTTTGATATGAGTACTTTGAGTACCTTAGGATGGGACTCTGTTGTGGGTGTTTTTACCATTAATTTATCTTAAGTCTACTTGTACTTAGAGGTATCTTTTTATATAAGCATATAGTTAAATTTGACCTATTTGTGATTACTGATATGTTTGCATTCATGCCTGATTTTTTTGTTTTATATTTACCATATTTTTTTCTTCTTTGTTTTTGAGCTGATTTAATTTCTTAGTTTTTTGAAGGTCATGCATATATTCATTTTCTCTTCTTGTGGAGTTATCTGCAAATTTTCAGCCTATTTAAACATCACTACTTTATTTTTGTTTAGAACTAATGAGAATCTGTTTCATCCTTTCCCCAGCAAGGCGGAACTGCTACTTGCTTTTACTTCCCTCGTTTCTCTTCCCTCTTTGACTTCCTATGTTGAAATCATGGTAAGTATTTTAGTTCCAGATTGCTTATTTTTCTAAAAGTCAGCATGTAGTGCTTCCTTTGCTTACTGTTTCATATCTTGGACGTTTTAAAAATTTTATTGGAGGACTTCTAATTGTTTCAGGGAAGGTTTTGAGTAGTAAATTTTGAGCTCTTTCATGTGTGGAAATTGCTTTTGTACTTGCCCTTGAAAGATGATTTGGCTGGATACAAGTTTCAAAATCTTCATTATAACTTTGAACTCATTGTCTTCTAGCATCTGTGTCACTGTTGAAAAGTCTAATTCTACTTTTATGTGATTTGTGTATCTTTGTAGGAGTTCAGTTTTTTCCCTTTGGAAGTTTTGAGGATTTCCCGGAATTTCAAGATGTGTCTCAAGTATCCACTAATTGATTCTTGCTTAACACTTAGTGAACCCGATGATTTCCTATCTTCTTTGTCCCATCTTCCCCAAGAAATTTCCAGAACTCACGTAAGACAGATGTTGGACTTCCTGGTTCTCTATTTTATATATATATACATATATATATATACACACACATGTGTGTGGGTGTGTGTATGTATAAACCTTTCATATCTGAGAGCATTTGGGGAGAATTTCTTAGTTTTGTTTTCCATTTGTTCTTCTTTCTGTGCCTATTTCACTGTTAAACATATCTGTTGAGCTTTATTTTGGAAATTAGTGTTTCCTTTTTTGCTTTATTGAGGTATAATTCACAATAAACTGCATCCATTTTAGGTGTGTAATTCCATGCATTTTGATAGATATATATACCCATGAAGCTCCTTCCTCACCCCCAGCAATCAAGAATTGGGTTACTACAGAACGTTTTCTCCTTCCTGTGCCTCCCCCCGACCCACCATTGATCTGTGTTCTGTCAGATGAAGAAATGATTAGTTGGTATTTTCTAAGGGTCATATAAATGGAACCTTATAGTATGTAGCCTTTTGTGCAAAGCTGCTTTCACTTGGCCTGTTTTTGAGACTGATTTACGTTGTGTGTAGTAATTTGTCCTCCCACTTTTTATCTTTCTTTTTTCTTTTTGGTTTTGAAACTCCAGCCCTCATCTAGGAAGTTAACGTTGCCTCAATTCACAGTTCATACTTAGATTTCACCAGATTTACATGAACTCTTGTGTATGTGTATTTAGGTCTGTATAATTTTATCATGTTTAGATTCTTGCAGCCACAACCACAGTTGGCAATCATTTCTAAATTTCTGGGTTTTCTTTGTGATGGCTTCCTCATTTTTTCATGTATGTGGTATTTATGATTCTTTTAAAGTCTCCTATTTGTTCCTGCAACTCGTCCTTCAGATGTCTAGCTTCTCATTTTTGTGGTGCTGATTGCCCTTTTGCGGGTCACCTCTGGTTTGAGGATTGCTGTCTGCCTATCAGTGGATGCAGTGTCTGTTTACTGGTCTTGGGATGGAGTATGAGGTAGAGATAGGGGTATATGGCCAGGTGTGGGTGCTTCCCATTTCTTCTGGGTAATAGCAGCTGCCTGGGTGCTATCCTGATTCTTTGGCTCAAGTGCCTTTGCTGAATGAAGACCTTGCTCTTCGGGTGTGGAAGTGGAGAATGGGTCTCAGAGGAGCAAAGTGGCTGGCCTGTCCTTTGGCACCCAATGCATTTTGCTGCCAGATGACCATGACTGTGCTGGAGCCTGCTCCTGTTTCCCCATTACAGCTGCTCCATCTAACAGCTTGGATTGAACCCTTCTTTGCTCCCCACAGCTGCTTGTAATTTTTGTAACATTCCTCTATTGAAGACTCTGGACAATTACTGCCTCTATCAACTTAGTTCCTGCTGATAGTATCACTTCTTGTTTTCCAGAATTATTTTTGGAAATAATACAGTTGACCATTAAGCAACACAGGTTTAAACTGTGAGGTTTCACTTCTACGTGTTTTTTTTTTTAGTAAAATATTGGAAAATTTTTTGGAGATTTGTGACAATTTTTAAAAAGATTTTCTTTCCTCTAGTTTACTTGACTGTAAGAATAGTGTATAATATAGCATACAAAATATGTGTTAAACTGTTTGTTTATATTATTAGTAAGGCTTCCAGTCAACAATAGGCTATTAGTTAAGTTTTTGGGGAGTCGGAAGTTATACTTGGATTTTCAATTGTGTGGGGAGTTGACATCTCTAACCCCTGTGTTGTCCAAGGGTCAACTGCATATTAATAAATCTAAATCTTTAGTCATTTCTAGGATTTGAGGTGGGAGGGGAAGGCATGTATGTATGTGCAGTCCATCTTGATCCAATCTCTTAAAGCCATTTCTTGGAAAGGATTTTGGGGGAACAGATACTTTGAAATATTTGTTCCATTGAAGTCCATTGAAACCTTTTATTTATAGGACATCAGATTTTGACCACTGGAGCTTGTATGTTACATTGAATTGGTAGTTTCCGCTACCCCTACTTTGCTACTAAACCAAAGCTCTGAAAAGTCTCAACATTTCTTCCAAGGGGAAGGATGATACTAATTTAATTCTCTATCTTCGTTTCCCCCCCATCTCCCCAGAGTTGAGGTTCATAGGTAGTCATTTTGTGTTTTTAATATCTCATATTGTAGTTTGGGCTTATCTGTGTAAGAGGGTTGGGTTGGCTTGACATTTTGTTTTTCTTCTTAAAATCTTTGTAATTTTTTTTAAAGACGTGCTTCCAAATCAGACCATCATATTTTTCTTCTCCCCAAAACTTTTTTGCTTATGTAGTCCTTGGAAACCTCAGGGTATAAATATGAAATAAGTTGCTAATCTAGTAAGTATAAATTTAGTTTTCATTAAAAAGCTGTTCTGACTTTATTTTCCTTCCCCATTTAGTTTTTCCATGGTTTGGCTTGGATATTGGTGGAACCCTGGTCAAGCTGGTTTATTTTGAGCCCAAAGACATCACTACTGAAGAAGAGGAGGAAGAAGTGGAAAGTCTGAAAAGCATTCGGAAGTACCTGACTTCCAATGTGGCTTATGGGTCCACGGGTATTCGGGATGTGCACCTGGAGCTGAAGGACCTGACTCTGTGTGGACGCAAAGGCAATCTGCACTTTATACGCTTTCCCACTCATGACATGCCTGCTTTTATTCAAATGGGCAGAGATAAAAACTTCTCGAGTCTCCACACTGTCTTTTGTGCCACTGGAGGTGGAGCGTACAAATTTGAGCAGGATTTTCTCACAGTATGCATTTTTTAGCTTATATACAATTTATGGTTATCTGATTGTTAAAAATAATTCCAGTAGTAAGTGGTGGAGTCATTTCCATCTATAATGAACTTGAATTTTCTTGAGTCAAATTAAGGTTAAATATAAATTAGTTGTAGGAGTTAGCCACCATCTAGAGATTGTTTTATAGTTTGATTTTTGCGCGGTTCAGATGAGTTGATGAGAATGAGCCACTAAAAGCATAGCGTTTAGTTCTTCTAGTGTGAAAAAATAGTGAAACTGTAAGCAGAGTAAGGAAGGATCTGCCCATGAGGAAAACATTAAATCTTGAACAATGAGATTGAAAAATAATTTAAAAAATTAATGTCATTTCATGGCCTAAAATTTTTTTCAATCTTGTCTGTCACATAATTTCTCTTGTCCCTCTTAAGTGGTTTTTGGCAAGTTTACTATTAAAAAAACAAGGAACTCAGGTCCAGAGCAGTGGTTTTCAGGCCTCAGGTCTGGTGGGAGATGGTTGACAGCAGAGGTGCCTTGTCCACGGGCTGTGCTGTGCTTGTCAACAGGAGTCTGAATTGTTGTGGACACTAGGGGGAGTGCCAGCAGGCACCTGATTTTGCATTCAGTGAACACTCTGCAGGCCTTGGGGCTAGTTCCTTTGAGGGTGGATGTAGGGTGGGTGGGATAACTGACAAGTAAATTGGCCAAGACTCGGACCTTCAGGGTGCAATATAGATTTAAAATGTCTCAGTGACCATTAATGCCACCAATAAGAATGTTATTACAGAGTCTGCCTTTGCCCGTGTTAGTCTATATATTTTTCCCCTGGCTATCATTGTATGGTTTGTGACCTTGTCTGCTTTTTTTTGTTCTCTATCTCCAGACATTCTCTCATAACTGACCACAATCATAATGTAGAATTAACATGCATTTTCAACAAGGTTTATATTCTTTGCTTGAATTTCTCTTGGTTGTTGGTGCTCATGGGTTTCTTTTCTCTTAGTAAAGGGGAAGTAGGTGGAGGGACAGCTCCCCTCCTTTGTGGAAGCCCCAAAGTGGACTCTGGGTTCTTGAAGGAAAAGGAGGAAGTCCTTGTATTTCCAGGCCTCTGTAGAGATGCTCTTTGGAACATATTTGAGAACCAGTTGGGCTGTTAACCAGAGGTTCAGCATTGGGTGGTAAGCCAAGGAGAAGGGTACAAAGTGGCTTTTAGACCTTAAGAATTGGTTCTTAGGCAGTTGGGGTTTTTCATTTATAGGTAGTAAGTAGTACTGTCCTTGAAAATTGTCTGAAAATGAAATGCCTGTCAAATCCTTGTACATTAGGAGTGACTAATACTTAATAGACCACAGTGAAATATTTTTTTAATATATTGAGTTTACCCTGTTTCTTTTTTAGTGTGAATCAGATTTCCTCACATTATGATGTTGAGTTTTCTTGTTGGTGCAATATCTACATTATGAATAACTTGAGTTAGTGAAATTATGTGTTTTAGTCATCTTAACTATCAGGCTGGGATTCATGAAGAGTAATAGCACAGCAGGACGCTTCAGGATAACATGAGTTGTTGGAAGGATAAAAGGAGATATTGGCTTGACATACCATGGCAGACTACTTGGATTCCATAGGCCACCAGTATAAAATGATTTGTCTTAGAAATGGAACTGCTGGTCCTTGAGATTCAAGTGTCAGGAAGCTGGTATTCCTCTTGGCAGGGAGGGATGAGCAGATGAGACAAGGGCAGTGTTGAATACTTCAGGGGCTTGGGGTTAGTCAGAGGAGTAACTTAATATTCTTAATTAGGGATTAATTAAGGGGTGAGATGAAGTTACCAGTTAATTTCCGTCTCTGCTGTGAATTGGAATACTTTGAGTGTACATGTAATCAAATGAGACTTGAATTAAAGGGGGAGAACTTGCAGGGAGGACTGAACGTGGTTGTAAACAGAAATAGGTTGAGACACGTTCATATTTGTTAGAAATACTGAGTATATATACTTGTAAACATTCAAATGGGTAAAAAATTCAGAGTGTAAAATGTGGATGTTTGTTTATGCCATCTCTCCAAAGTCACACTGAAAAGTTTATGTATATTTTTTAGTTTTCTCTGCATGACTGTGACACATACACATGCATATAGACTTGGTTTTAAAAATACACAGATTGGATCATATTTCATAAAATGTTTCTTAAGTTGCTTTTTGACTAACAGCATGTTTTGGAGTTCTTCCCACTTCAATCTTATTCGAATGAAGATTTTCTTTATTCTTAATTGCTGTATAGTGTCACATAATATGAATAATAATCATTATTATTAAAATGGAATTAAATTGCTAATAAGGTTTTCAATTTTGTTACTGCTGAAATCCTCCTCCAGAGGCTATAACTAGTTTATATAATGAAAAATGTTACCTTTTAATTGGATACTTTCAGCCCTTTGGCTTCAGGTTATTAATAATACAGTATGCCCTCCTTTGATACTCTCCCACAGCACTGACCACGGGCTTCTGGAAGACAGATGTCAGTGTCCTTGTGGCTTTGGCCATGTGTACCCAGGGGTTTGTGTCACGTGGATTGCTTGGTTTGCCTTCTGATAGGGCTGGGACTTCAGCCGGGCTCCTGCTCATGGTCCCTGTGAGCATTTTGTTTTTTGCTTGGGTTTTTGGCACATTTCTCCAGCTGCTGCAGTGATTTGTAGGTAGAGTGTATTTGGGTCTGGGGGAGCAGGAGGAATCTGTCTTGTCAGTCCGTCGTCTACAGTTCTGTTACGTAAAGCATGTACAAATAATACATGTCCATGAGCACTGTTAGGGTTTGTTTAATGTAGAGGGGATGCCTTATAAATGGAACTTTTATTTGTTTGGCTTGTTAACAAGTCTGAATACATTTTTGTGCCGTTACAGATAGGTGATCTTCAGCTTTGCAAACTTGATGAACTAGATTGCTTGATAAAAGGGATTTTATACATCGACTCAGTTGGATTCAATGGACGGTCACAATGCTATTACTTTGAAAACCCTGCTGATGCTGAAAAATGTCAGAAGTTACCGTTTGATTTGAAAAACCCCTACCCTCTGCTTCTGGTGAACATTGGCTCAGGGGTTAGCATTTTAGCAGTATATTCCAAAGATAATTACAAGCGGGTCACAGGTACCAGGTAGGTCGTTGATATAAAGGTGGTGGTTTATTCTTGATGTCATAATGGCTTACAATTGAGTTTTCAGGTATTGCATATAAGTACATCTTCAGGGATCTGTTAAAATTGTGTGGAAGATACATTTTTCTGGGATTGTGCAAATATTGTTTCTTTTTGAAAATTGTAATTTCATCAACAACTTTTCTTTAATCTCTATTGCTCAAGATTTTATTACCGTAGTTTATCATAAACTATCTCAGCAGACTCATTGAGTTCATAGTTGCTGCTCTCAGGTAGCGTGTTGTACACATGCCACTGAGTCATCATAGCTGCTAGGTAGCTTCTGTAAGGAGAAGGCAAGGCAAAAGCCCAGCTGTGAAAGCGGCCCGGATTTTACACATGTGTGTGCACACACACACTCAACAGCTGGGGCTGGTGTGAGGCCTAGAAGCTGAGGTCCTGAGCAGTAGAAAAGTGGCTGGGGAGGGTAGCCTGAAAGGGGAATTAGGTAGTAGGTGGGAATGAATATATTTTGGTTTGAGGACTAGAGATCACTTGAAGGAAAACAAGGAACCTAGGGATGGAGATAAACAGTTTTTTAATGGGTGTGAGTTAGAGAATGATTTTTGGGTGAAACCATATTACTGGAGGAGTTCTTGGGGCATGGCGAGGGTGGTAGCCAGGGAGCTTGGATGAGGATGACTTGGGTTAATGCACTTGGAAAGGGAGGAGGTGCCGGTATGGGCCTGGGTGTAGGGGGTTTTGCACCTGAGGCCTCTTCTCCGCACATGCCTGGCCTGCACTCAGGACAGGGATGGGGATGGGGAGGTGGGCCCCATGTTTTGCTCATTTCTGTTGGCTCACATGGATATGTATTTTCAAGATATACGTCAGGCCCTTTGTGTTTATCTTTTCATAGACTTGTTTCCTTGCAGTGGCATCTGGCATGATTGGGTTAGGGCAAGATTGAATATGGTTTTAGGTTTATAAATACTACCTTCCTATTCTTATTTTAAAAAATTTTAGAATTCTGTTGTCTGCTTTTGATCACAGTCTTGGAGGAGGAACTTTTTTTGGTCTCTGCTGTCTTCTTACTGGCTGTACCACTTTTGAAGAAGCTCTTGAAATGGCATCTCGTGGAGATAGCACCAAAGTGGATAAACTAGTACGAGACATTTATGGAGGGGACTATGAGAGGTTTGGACTGCCAGGCTGGGCTGTGGCATCGAGGTAAGGGGGCATGTGTTTTCTAAGAAATGTAGGAATAAAAGCTAAATAATGGTTATATTTTTCCTTTTCAGCAGCTTTATTGAGCTATAATTCACATACCATAAGGTCACCTGTTTAAAGTATAAAATTTAGTGGCTTCTAGTATGTTTACAGAATTGTGCAACCACCACCATAATCCAATTTCAGAACATTATCTTCATTTTAGAAAGAAACCTTGCATCCATTAGCTGTCACTTCCTATTCCCCCACTCCTAGTTCCTGATAATCTCGAGAGATTGCTAATTCTGGACACTTCATATAAATGGTATCAGATAATGTGATTTTTGTGGCTGGCTTCTTTCACTTAGCATAATGTTTTCAAGGGTCACTGTGGTACTTCACCAATCAGTACTTTGAATTTCCATGTGAGTTTGAGGATCAGTTTTGTCAGTGGCTCCAAAAAAGGCAGCTGGGATTTTTGATAGGAATTGTGTTGAATTTGTGGATTATGTTAGGGAATATTGCCATTTTAATGGTATCAAGTCTTCTGATCCAAAAAGATGGAATGTCTTCCCATTTATTTAGATTTTTGCTTTCTTTAACCAGTGTTTTATAGTTTTCAGTGTACAGTTGTTAAATATATCCCTAAGCATTTTATTTTCTTTGATGCTATTGTAAGTGGAATTGTTTTCCTAATTTCATTTTCTGACTGTTTAGAAATACAGTTGTTCTTTTGAATCGGGGTGCATGGTTTTTAATATAGAAAAAGCATTCATATGTACTTGTTTACTAATTTTAGGCACCTTGTAAATGCCGTAGATTTCATTTCTATGTTTGTAGTATTTGCTCATATGTAATCACTTTTCTGATTGGTTAGATTTGTGTTCTGGTCTCAGTTACTAATGTAGCAATTCTGCTGGCCAAGTACTATGAAGTACTTAATCTTCCAGGGAAACCTGAAACTTTTAAGTAGTTTACTGGGGACTCAGCTGTCTGCACTTTGCTCTGACAAAGTAGGTTAGCAAATGTGACTCCTGAGCTGAGTGGAACAGCTGAGCAGTTGAGGATGAACTGCTGGGAGAGGTGTCCTCTTGGAACTGTCCCTGGTTGCAGATGAGAGATCCTCACCGAATGTGGGAACATCTGGGATCAAAGCCAGGTTTCAGTGGGAACCACAGGAAAAGTCACTTTTTCATTCAGAATGCTTGAGGAATCTCTTGGAAATTACATTTCTCTTTGAGCAGATGCTCTGTTATTTTATAATAAAAAGTTTGAAGATTTGAACAGAGTTGCCCTAAAAGTGACATTTATCTTAGTAAATTAACATTTAAATTCCACTGGGCTGTGTTGCTTTTGGTTTAGCAAAGGTAATTTTTTTTTTCCATCACAGCTTTGGAAACATGATGAGCAAGGAGAAGCGAGAGGCTGTCAGTAAAGAGGACCTCGCCAGAGCAACTTTGATCACCATCACCAACAACATTGGCTCAATAGCAAGAATGTGTGCCCTTAATGAAGTAAGGGGACATGGATTTCTTTAGCTGCTCTGAGGAGAGCAGAATGTCCACAGTGGGCCTCACCTTGTGCACGTCTGTCTTCTCCTCTTAATAGTGCCTGCATGTTATGTGGGGTAGTTTGTTTTATTGGCAGTGTTCAAACTCTTCAAGTGTAGATTGATCTTCCTTGATTTTTTTTCTTAGTGAAGATAAATACTGCTACCACCTAGAAGTAAAATTACGTCTTTTGAGGAGAAAACAGAGGAAGGTCGGAAGGTAGTCAGTGCTGAGCCCGGCGTTGAGCTCTAGAGTCCCTGGGGAGGGGCCCAGAGGAAGTCCCTGGAGCTGGGAGAAGCTGGGCGCCAAGGAGAGAGCGTCTTCGTGCTTTCAGCTTCTTTACAATGCTGCCTTGTAGCATCAGGTCAAGCAGCATTGTACAGGGCTATGAAAGAACCAAGAGTTGCCTTCCCTCGGGGGCCCAGTCGCTCAGTCGCCGCATGTGCCGTTTGTGCTTCTGTTTACAGTTACTGTTTTAAATGGATAATGTAGGCATGTGGTTTAAAAAGGAAACTTCAGAAGGTACAAAAGGATGGGGTCCTTTTCAAATACACTGTATCAGCATCAAGTAATTAAAAAGTTTCCATTCATATGTGTTAACACTTGTTTTCTCATTGCATGTTCCCTTTCCTGTGCTTATGTGTCTTAAATTTTTAGTTGGTGAACACTATTTATATTTTTTACTTAAATTACACATTTCATGGCTGCATGTGTTTCTTTTGTGATGTAAGTCATTCACGTGGAGCTGGACATTTGGTTGCTCACCAGCGATAGCTCTGTGGTAGTTACTCTTGCTCAGGGGCTTGGGAGTGAGATGTCTCACATGAAGAATGGGACCGTGCTTATGGATGTGATAGACACCGCCAAGGTGCTTTTTTGCACAGGGCTGTACCAGTTTAGATGATTTTAGCCACAGATTTTAATGGGTCAGTTTAGCACAGCTTGACTAATTTTGGTGGGATTTCAGTTGGTTGTTTTGCTAATAGCTTTTAATAGGTTTAAAATTATTTTTTATTTCATTACTAGGGAAGTTGATTTTTCCTATTATTTTTCTTATATAATTTGTGTATTTGTTTCACTTCTTTTGAATTGGTTCTTACTTTTTTTAAAGCTTATCTGTATAAAACTTTAAATAGTATTTATTGTTTGTCACATTTAATACAAATGTATTTCCTAAGTGTTTTCTCCTATGACATTTTTTGGTGTGCTTTGAAGGGGATCCAGAGTTGTCTGGGGATCAAATTTACATAGCGTTGGACTGACTGGATTAAATGTAAATACTTTTTTTGATCAGCAGTCTAGTTGCTGCTAAAACTGTATACATGGTGCTCTGTTTGGAATAGCTTTTACAAGAGAACAGAAATTGAGATGAAAACTAACTGCCTTTTTTTGATATGCTCAGAACATTAACCAGGTGGTATTTGTTGGAAATTTCTTGAGAATTAATACGATCGCCATGCGGCTTTTGGCATATGCTTTGGATTATTGGTCCAAGGGGCAGTTGAAAGCACTTTTTTCGGAACATGAGGTAAGCAGATTGACTTGTTGAAGTATACGTAAGGGAATGTCCTCACATGTTTTGGAACTTGACATAGAGGTGAAATGGACTGCAGTTCTTCTTTTTGTAATTGTATGATAAAGTTAACTTTTATAAAGTTCAAAAGCTATTCTGATTTAATGCAAGGTAGATTTTTGGTTAACTTGTGACCCTCAGCAATTTTAGAGAAAAAAATCTTGATGAACATTCACCTATGTTTCTGATGCCATATTCTATTCTGAATGATCCTTTATGTTTTTCCATTATGCTTACTTCGTAAATGCACTTACTCTGGGTTCTGCTGCTCTTTTCACTTTTTGAAGTCAGTTTTTATGTATTGATACAGTTCAGGTGCCATTTACTTAAGATGTATGTTCTAAAAACAAGTAGATGAGTAAGAAACATTCCAGGACCAGAACCGCACAGTCATAAGAAGTTGACATGGAGACAGGCTGGAGGTGACAGAGTGGAAGAGAATGAGTGGATTGCTTGACCTGGTGTCCTGTGTTGAATAGTGCCTTTCTCTTTTCCAGTTGGGGGGGGAAAAAGGGAGCCAGCGCTGTAGCAGGGGCTCACTCTTCCTTCACCGTGGTGGTGGGGCACTCTTTTCAGGTGGTGGTGAATTTTAGACAGTGCTACCATGAACATTTTACAGAATTGTATGTGTATATTTACTTTAACAGGGTTTATATGAATTGACAGAAATCAAAGTAGGATTTGAAGTGCTATAGAGATTGCTTTTCCTTTAAAGTTTTTCTTTTAAAGTTGCTTAAATTCATGGTTAAAATCCAAAATGCACAAATTCCCTATATCAAAAAACTTAAAATTTGTAATTTTTAAAAAAACTTTTTAATATAAGAATTTGTTTATTGAATAATTTGACATGTAACATGTAAGTTTAAGGTATATGGTGTGTTTGATGCATTTTTATTGTAATGATTGCAGTATTCCCATAGTTATTACATAAATACAGTACAACATTACTGCCTTTAGTCATGCTGTGCTTTAGATCTCTATGGCTTGCTTACTACATGTTACAAGTTTGTACCCTTAAGTTTTACTTTTAACATTCTTTTATTGGTAATTGGTACAAAATTATTGAGTTTCTTACACCTTCATATACATCTTGCATTTTGTGATCTTTGGCCTGTTTTATTTTTGCTTTGTATTAGAAAAGAAACCCTCTTTAATGTTATGTATAAGTATAACTTCACTTCTGCTGCATTTCTACCTCTTGTTGAACCTTTTCCTATGTAGGACATGGAGATTGATTTCTTAGGTTAACTTTTTTCTTTTTTAACTTTTCAATAGTTATAATGTATGGAGTTTTATTTTTACATTTGTCATTCTTACTGCCCGCTGACTTCATTTTCCTCTCTGGTTAGCAGTTGCTGGTCCATTTGTCTGTGTTTTCCATTGGCATTCGGGCCTCTGAGTCTAGTGTTGATCTCAGTGCTGTGGGACTTTATTCTAGGCTTTTTGAGACTTGAATATTCTCCTGCCCTCACCCTGAAGTTAGTCAAGTATTGTTGTGAAAGCCTTATATAGATTCTTCTCAGGCCTTTTTATGTTATCCTTTACTGTTTGCATTATAGCTCTTGGCAGCTTGTAATAACCATTATCTTTTACTTGATAGTAGGTTGTGGGCCTTCAGTGATGCTCAGTATAATGGTTAACTTCATCTCTTTTTTATTATAAAGTGAAGCACAGATACAGAAAACCACATAAAATGAAGTAGATAGCTAAGTGTTGTACATGGACACCCTTGAGTCTGTCCTCAGGCTGTGACTGGGGATCCCTGAGCGGTGCTGTGTCCTGGTCAGCAGTCCTGCTGTTGCTGGCCGCCTTTCCTAGCACAGATCCATGTGGCTGCCTTTTTTTAAAATTAAGGAGGAGAGTGAAAGCGCAGGTTTTAGCTTCTATTGTGTGGTCACAAGCTTCTTGGAGAAGCTTTTCTTGGAATATAAATTAGACCTTAGTTCTGAGAATTTTGTACATTGTTTTAAATCCACAAGCAAGTCTTTCAGGATCTCCTACATTCCTTTTTCAATCATTTTTTTCTGAAATTACTATCTAATCTCTTCCTTTGGAGACCTTGATGGATTCTGTGTTACTGTAGGGTGATTCTCTGATTCCTGCTGGAAAGATCTTCCACTGTGGGTTTTGTCTCATTTTTGAAATGCTGAGCCCCTTTTTGTGTGTGTGTGTTTCATTTTTGGGTTATGTCCTGGTTCTTGGTTGTGCATGACCTTGACTACTTCTGGAGTGGGTCCAGCTGTGGCTGCTCTGTTTCATGCCTCTGCCTGCCCCTCATGTGCTTCTGTTGTTCAGATGTTTTTCTGTCTGCACCCCTTTCTTAATGTCATCCCAGGGCACTGCTGTCCACTCATCTGCTGCATGTCTCTGCTGGTGCTGCTCTGCCTGCTGCCCTTCTCCAGAGCCCAATGTCAGTTACTTCCTGGGTGAGGCTGCTTGGCAGCCTGGGGCACCTCAGTCCTGCACACTCTGTTTAGAAGCCTCGTTGCTTGCCATATCTTTTGTTCCTTTCCTGTGTCCTGGTTCTTGGGCAGTATCACTGGGTGTGTGGGAGGGACCTTATCTCCTTCAGGCGGGTCTTGAACCCATCCCACCCCTTCTCACTCTCCCTCCCACCACCAGTGCAGTCAGGCTCTCCCTCTGTGACTTGCCTCCTTAGCTTCTCCTGCTTTGTCGCACTTCGTGTCCCATCTCTCCGTCCTGCCTCGGTTGTCTGGAAAAGCTCCAGGCCTCTGCTGCTTCTCACCGCCCCGATTCCCCGAAGAGCCGACTTGGATCCTGCCTCCTACCAGAGGGAGCCGAGCCACCATGGGCCCCTCAGCTCCTGTAGCCCCACTGTGGGTTTTGGTTAGGACTGGAGTGTCTTGTGCGTGGGCCCTTCTCCTCAGCCTGGTTGCTCCTCAGAGCTTTTCTGCTCCCAGGGTGGCCTTGGGTTCAGCAAAGTGGGTACTCAGAAATCGGGTGTCAGAAATTAAGGGCAGTGTTGGCTTTAACCCTTGTAGTCAAATTTATGGTAACCAAAGTATGTCAAAGGAGAATTGCTCTTATTTTCGGTGTACTTTTTTTCAGGGGTATTTTGGAGCCGTTGGAGCACTCCTTGAGCTGTTGAAGATCCCCTGATTGTTACCTGGGGAGGGGTTCCTGGAACCTTCCACGATGGGATCTGTGGACTTTTGTTTTTTTAAGAGACTCAATTTTATGATTGTGTAGGGCCCGAATCAAAGCGAGAAAGGACAAGTATATTTTCCTAAGTCATCAAATAAATCCTTAAAAATTCAGTGTAAACTAGTAACCAGTAAGCATATATATATACATATAAAGCGGACCACATCCATGGCAGTGAGGATTTGCCATAGAAAAGCTGCTCTTAAATATAGCTTTGTTAAACCTGCTTTGTATTTTTGAAACTCAGCTTCACTCACTAGAGCCACTTCAGGGGAGAGCTGTTGTGTGCTCAGCTGACTATGGGTTTGTGTCCTGTTGAACTTGTTGAATGTAAGGCAAACTCCTGTGTGTTATAATCTAATCAGAATGTTGTAACAATGGCTTTGGAGGTCGTCTGTGCATTAAGTCTGATGTGCATTTAGCCTCTATGTGAACATGTTGGAAAATGTTTATTTCAAGGTTCTGCAAAACTTAATTGGGCAGGTTAATCCTCTACCTTTAACTTTGCCAATTAAGCAACTTTTGGAAGCATAGTTCTGGGTTCCTCTACACTGTAATCCTGGGAAGGGCTGTTTGGAAAGACAGGGCTTACCCTGGGCAGAAATTCCTTGTGCAGTGGGGGTATTACTGACTGGATGGAAGTGAGTCAGCTAGTAGGAAAAGCATGTCGTGAAGACAAACCAGACAAAAAGGGCCACTGGAATTGACATCTTTTCAAGGAACTGGGCAGAACCTTGTTATTTCAGGATAGCAGAAAGTGAAGAATCAAGGTGTCCACTGATTAACCCATGGGGGAGTTAAATCCCCACCCCCACTCCCTCTCCCCCATTGTGGAAACTTGCCCTGAAAGTGCCTGGCAGGCTGACTCCATCTGCCTGAGATGGAGCACAGGGGCTGTACCTGCGAGGCTCAAAAGGCTGCTGGAGGGGAGAGGTTTCAAGATGGAGTCTTGGTAGAGATTGACTTTGAACCTTGTCTTTCTGCTGTGCAGAATAATTTTAAAAATCCTCCTTGGAGACAAAACGTTTGTTCTTATTTGGTGCTTCCATTGCTATCACTGATGAAGGCAGTGAGGTTCAGTGTAAAGCAGTCTTTTAACTAGGAAACCCCAAGCTGCAGCCTGCGTGTGCCCAGATGTGAGGGTTTCAGGCTCAGTGAAGAGCCCAGCCTGGAAAGACCAAAGGTGTAGGTCGCTGAGGGTAGAGGGTTGGTGCCTTCTTAGGCAGCAGGGGCCTGTGCCCACCAAGGGTTTCCAAAGGGTATGACCCCCCCTTCAGCCAAGCTCCCTTGCACATATGTAGTGGGTGCTGCTGGCCTGGTGGAGCTGGGGGGATGCTGTAGGGATGGGGATTGGGCTGTGATACATCTCCCATTGCTCCTGCCTCGTGGCTCTCCCGGGCCTCAGCCTGAGCCACCTTCAGTCCTGTCCCTCTGCCCTTGGCACTTACAGATATGATCTTGGTAGCCCCACTTCCCCTCATGGCCAACAAAGACAGTGCTAGCACCTACACTCCCTGTACCACAGGGGGCTCCTCATGCCCCAAGCTCTCCTCCCTGCGTCCTCTGGGCAGAGCGCTCCTGACAGCCTCCAGAGAAGGGAGGGAACATACACCAGCAGCTTCCTATGGAGACTCAGCCTGGCCCCCCTGGCCCCTTGCCATGGGTCTGAGGCTGATGCCAGTGTTTATGTTGTGTTATGCAGCCCGTTGTTATCCTCAACAGTTTAACAGAAGCAAATGTGCCTGAGGCCATGGTGCTACCAGTGGGCACCCCTCTCCCTCCCCAGCATTTGCCTTCTTCCTCCGTGGACCCACCACTTCCTGCTCTTGAGACCCTCACTTCGCTCTTTGTGCTCAGCCCACACCACCACTCCATGGGAGGGTTCTTGCTAGGTCACCACTGAATCTTGTCACTAAATCTAATAGACGTTTCCTGTCTTCATCTTTCTCAATCCCTTCTTGCTTTTCCTTCTGTCTTTGCAAGCTTATTCTCCTCTGAGGATAGTTAGACATTCCTGGCCCCAGGAACAATCCTGGACCTCCCTGAGCAGTCATCAGCACTCTCCTGGAGTCTGATTTCCATGGTAGCCCTTGTGTCTGAGCTCTAGCTCCAAAGTGATGATTGCCTTCTTTCCAGTTGTGAATCTCCAAGGCCATGTCTACATAGAAATGTCCATATTTTTTCTGACTCCACCAGCATCCTCTCTCCCATCCACTTCACTACCTCCTCCCACTTGTGAGACGCTTGTAAAAATCTCCAGTCACCACTGCCACCACCCTGCTTGCTCTAAGCCATTGCCCTCTCTTATCTCAGCAGTTGTCCCTTCCACTCTGCCCTCTACATGCAGCTCGAGGACCTCATCCTATGCTCCCAAACTAGAGGCAGTCTCGGTGGCACTGGCTGTGGTCATAGCCCAGGTGAGAAAGGAATGCTTAAAAGGCTGTGTCAGGATGTGGGGGAGGGAGCTTCTGGAAGGGGGCACCTGGGCTTGTTGGTGAGTCTCAGTTTTGGACTGTGGTTTTTGGTTCCAAGTAGGCAGGTACCAAGTTGGTACCTGGGTTGGAGACAACAGGCCTGAGAGTGATGTGCACGTAGGTGGGAATTCAGTGGACATCCAGGTAAAGTGAGGATAACAGTTAAGAGACAGGCTGAAGAGTGGTCAGAGGGCACAGGTGGGGCCTGGTGCTCAGGAGGCTGAGGGGAGAAGAGTTACCCAGGCACCTGTGTTCAGAGGTCTAAGAGGTGGCCCAGATGTGGCTGCAGGATCATGGATGGTCTTGAGGGGAGCAGTTTCCCCAAAGCTATAGGGCAAAAGCTGTCCTAGTGAGGGGTGGTGAAGAGAAATGGCATCTGCTACCAGATGACTTTGGACCAAGAGGTGTTTATGTTCTCTTCCTAACAGAACAGTTGGTACTTCCAGAACTGAGATGGAGCTAGAGGGGTGAGGTGTGGCCTGGTTCTACTTTATTCCTCCCCCCCGCCCTCCCACTCCACCAGGCCAAGCACCAGTGTCCACATTTGGGTGATGGCTTATCTGTGTCCAGTTGCATCTGCAGTGTGGAAAGCCAGGCTGGCAGGTGAGGCCTTAGCTCATCACTGCTGACCTGCACCCCAGTGGCACCCCACATCCCATGACAGGCCAGAAGCCGCTTTTATTACAATTACATGTTGCTGATGACCAACTCAGGTTGCTAAGAACCACTTACCTTGACTTTTCCAGTTCTTTGCTGCATGGATTTCAGTGCTGGATGTGGGTGGACACAGGCATTCTGAGTTGAAGGGTACAGCTCAACGTGAAGTATTTTCCAAATCTTCTGTCCCTGGTTGCAGATGAGAGATCCTCACCGAATGTGGGAACATCTGGGATCAAAGCCAGGTTTCAGTGGGAACCACAGGAAAAGTCACTTTTTCATTCAGAATGCTTGAGGAATCTCTTGGAAATTACATTTCTCTTTGAGCAGATGCTCTGTTATTTTATAATAAAAAGTTTGAAGATTTGAACAGAGTTGCCCTAAAAGTGACATTTATCTTAGTAAATTAACATTTAAATTCCACTGGGCTGTGTTGCTTTTGGTTTAGCAAAGGTAATTTTTTTTTTCCATCACAGCTTTGGAAACATGATGAGCAAGGAGAAGCGAGAGGCTGTCAGTAAAGAGGACCTCGCCAGAGCAACTTTGATCACCATCACCAACAACATTGGCTCAATAGCAAGAATGTGTGCCCTTAATGAAGTAAGGGGACATGGATTTCTTTAGCTGCTCTGAGGAGAGCAGAATGTCCACAGTGGGCCTCACCTTGTGCACGTCTGTCTTCTCCTCTTAATAGTGCCTGCATGTTATGTGGGGTAGTTTGTTTTATTGGCAGTGTTCAAACTCTTCAAGTGTAGATTGATCTTCCTTGATTTTTTTTCTTAGTGAAGATAAATACTGCTACCACCTAGAAGTAAAATTACGTCTTTTGAGGAGAAAACAGAGGAAGGTCGGAAGGTAGTCAGTGCTGAGCCCGGCGTTGAGCTCTAGAGTCCCTGGGGAGGGGCCCAGAGGAAGTCCCTGGAGCTGGGAGAAGCTGGGCGCCAAGGAGAGAGCGTCTTCGTGCTTTCAGCTTCTTTACAATGCTGCCTTGTAGCATCAGGTCAAGCAGCATTGTACAGGGCTATGAAAGAACCAAGAGTTGCCTTCCCTCGGGGGCCCAGTCGCTCAGTCGCCGCATGTGCCGTTTGTGCTTCTGTTTACAGTTACTGTTTTAAATGGATAATGTAGGCATGTGGTTTAAAAAGGAAACTTCAGAAGGTACAAAAGGATGGGGTCCTTTTCAAATACACTGTATCAGCATCAAGTAATTAAAAAGTTTCCATTCATATGTGTTAACACTTGTTTTCTCATTGCATGTTCCCTTTCCTGTGCTTATGTGTCTTAAATTTTTAGTTGGTGAACACTATTTATATTTTTTACTTAAATTACACATTTCATGGCTGCATGTGTTTCTTTTGTGATGTAAGTCATTCACGTGGAGCTGGACATTTGGTTGCTCACCAGCGATAGCTCTGTGGTAGTTACTCTTGCTCAGGGGCTTGGGAGTGAGATGTCTCACATGAAGAATGGGACCGTGCTTATGGATGTGATAGACACCGCCAAGGTGCTTTTTTGCACAGGGCTGTACCAGTTTAGATGATTTTAGCCACAGATTTTAATGGGTCAGTTTAGCACAGCTTGACTAATTTTGGTGGGATTTCAGTTGGTTGTTTTGCTAATAGCTTTTAATAGGTTTAAAATTATTTTTTATTTCATTACTAGGGAAGTTGATTTTTCCTATTATTTTTCTTATATAATTTGTGTATTTGTTTCACTTCTTTTGAATTGGTTCTTACTTTTTTTAAAGCTTATCTGTATAAAACTTTAAATAGTATTTATTGTTTGTCACATTTAATACAAATGTATTTCCTAAGTGTTTTCTCCTATGACATTTTTTGGTGTGCTTTGAAGGGGATCCAGAGTTGTCTGGGGATCAAATTTACATAGCGTTGGACTGACTGGATTAAATGTAAATACTTTTTTTGATCAGCAGTCTAGTTGCTGCTAAAACTGTATACATGGTGCTCTGTTTGGAATAGCTTTTACAAGAGAACAGAAATTGAGATGAAAACTAACTGCCTTTTTTTGATATGCTCAGAACATTAACCAGGTGGTATTTGTTGGAAATTTCTTGAGAATTAATACGATCGCCATGCGGCTTTTGGCATATGCTTTGGATTATTGGTCCAAGGGGCAGTTGAAAGCACTTTTTTCGGAACATGAGGTAAGCAGATTGACTTGTTGAAGTATACGTAAGGGAATGTCCTCACATGTTTTGGAACTTGACATAGAGGTGAAATGGACTGCAGTTCTTCTTTTTGTAATTGTATGATAAAGTTAACTTTTATAAAGTTCAAAAGCTATTCTGATTTAATGCAAGGTAGATTTTTGGTTAACTTGTGACCCTCAGCAATTTTAGAGAAAAAAATCTTGATGAACATTCACCTATGTTTCTGATGCCATATTCTATTCTGAATGATCCTTTATGTTTTTCCATTATGCTTACTTCGTAAATGCACTTACTCTGGGTTCTGCTGCTCTTTTCACTTTTTGAAGTCAGTTTTTATGTATTGATACAGTTCAGGTGCCATTTACTTAAGATGTATGTTCTAAAAACAAGTAGATGAGTAAGAAACATTCCAGGACCAGAACCGCACAGTCATAAGAAGTTGACATGGAGACAGGCTGGAGGTGACAGAGTGGAAGAGAATGAGTGGATTGCTTGACCTGGTGTCCTGTGTTGAATAGTGCCTTTCTCTTTTCCAGTTGGGGGGGGAAAAAGGGAGCCAGCGCTGTAGCAGGGGCTCACTCTTCCTTCACCGTGGTGGTGGGGCACTCTTTTCAGGTGGTGGTGAATTTTAGACAGTGCTACCATGAACATTTTACAGAATTGTATGTGTATATTTACTTTAACAGGGTTTATATGAATTGACAGAAATCAAAGTAGGATTTGAAGTGCTATAGAGATTGCTTTTCCTTTAAAGTTTTTCTTTTAAAGTTGCTTAAATTCATGGTTAAAATCCAAAATGCACAAATTCCCTATATCAAAAAACTTAAAATTTGTAATTTTTAAAAAAACTTTTTAATATAAGAATTTGTTTATTGAATAATTTGACATGTAACATGTAAGTTTAAGGTATATGGTGTGTTTGATGCATTTTTATTGTAATGATTGCAGTATTCCCATAGTTATTACATAAATACAGTACAACATTACTGCCTTTAGTCATGCTGTGCTTTAGATCTCTATGGCTTGCTTACTACATGTTACAAGTTTGTACCCTTAAGTTTTACTTTTAACATTCTTTTATTGGTAATTGGTACAAAATTATTGAGTTTCTTACACCTTCATATACATCTTGCATTTTGTGATCTTTGGCCTGTTTTATTTTTGCTTTGTATTAGAAAAGAAACCCTCTTTAATGTTATGTATAAGTATAACTTCACTTCTGCTGCATTTCTACCTCTTGTTGAACCTTTTCCTATGTAGGACATGGAGATTGATTTCTTAGGTTAACTTTTTTCTTTTTTAACTTTTCAATAGTTATAATGTATGGAGTTTTATTTTTACATTTGTCATTCTTACTGCCCGCTGACTTCATTTTCCTCTCTGGTTAGCAGTTGCTGGTCCATTTGTCTGTGTTTTCCATTGGCATTCGGGCCTCTGAGTCTAGTGTTGATCTCAGTGCTGTGGGACTTTATTCTAGGCTTTTTGAGACTTGAATATTCTCCTGCCCTCACCCTGAAGTTAGTCAAGTATTGTTGTGAAAGCCTTATATAGATTCTTCTCAGGCCTTTTTATGTTATCCTTTACTGTTTGCATTATAGCTCTTGGCAGCTTGTAATAACCATTATCTTTTACTTGATAGTAGGTTGTGGGCCTTCAGTGATGCTCAGTATAATGGTTAACTTCATCTCTTTTTTATTATAAAGTGAAGCACAGATACAGAAAACCACATAAAATGAAGTAGATAGCTAAGTGTTGTACATGGACACCCTTGAGTCTGTCCTCAGGCTGTGACTGGGGATCCCTGAGCGGTGCTGTGTCCTGGTCAGCAGTCCTGCTGTTGCTGGCCGCCTTTCCTAGCACAGATCCATGTGGCTGCCTTTTTTTAAAATTAAGGAGGAGAGTGAAAGCGCAGGTTTTAGCTTCTATTGTGTGGTCACAAGCTTCTTGGAGAAGCTTTTCTTGGAATATAAATTAGACCTTAGTTCTGAGAATTTTGTACATTGTTTTAAATCCACAAGCAAGTCTTTCAGGATCTCCTACATTCCTTTTTCAATCATTTTTTTCTGAAATTACTATCTAATCTCTTCCTTTGGAGACCTTGATGGATTCTGTGTTACTGTAGGGTGATTCTCTGATTCCTGCTGGAAAGATCTTCCACTGTGGGTTTTGTCTCATTTTTGAAATGCTGAGCCCCTTTTTGTGTGTGTGTGTTTCATTTTTGGGTTATGTCCTGGTTCTTGGTTGTGCATGACCTTGACTACTTCTGGAGTGGGTCCAGCTGTGGCTGCTCTGTTTCATGCCTCTGCCTGCCCCTCATGTGCTTCTGTTGTTCAGATGTTTTTCTGTCTGCACCCCTTTCTTAATGTCATCCCAGGGCACTGCTGTCCACTCATCTGCTGCATGTCTCTGCTGGTGCTGCTCTGCCTGCTGCCCTTCTCCAGAGCCCAATGTCAGTTACTTCCTGGGTGAGGCTGCTTGGCAGCCTGGGGCACCTCAGTCCTGCACACTCTGTTTAGAAGCCTCGTTGCTTGCCATATCTTTTGTTCCTTTCCTGTGTCCTGGTTCTTGGGCAGTATCACTGGGTGTGTGGGAGGGACCTTATCTCCTTCAGGCGGGTCTTGAACCCATCCCACCCCTTCTCACTCTCCCTCCCACCACCAGTGCAGTCAGGCTCTCCCTCTGTGACTTGCCTCCTTAGCTTCTCCTGCTTTGTCGCACTTCGTGTCCCATCTCTCCGTCCTGCCTCGGTTGTCTGGAAAAGCTCCAGGCCTCTGCTGCTTCTCACCGCCCCGATTCCCCGAAGAGCCGACTTGGATCCTGCCTCCTACCAGAGGGAGCCGAGCCACCATGGGCCCCTCAGCTCCTGTAGCCCCACTGTGGGTTTTGGTTAGGACTGGAGTGTCTTGTGCGTGGGCCCTTCTCCTCAGCCTGGTTGCTCCTCAGAGCTTTTCTGCTCCCAGGGTGGCCTTGGGTTCAGCAAAGTGGGTACTCAGAAATCGGGTGTCAGAAATTAAGGGCAGTGTTGGCTTTAACCCTTGTAGTCAAATTTATGGTAACCAAAGTATGTCAAAGGAGAATTGCTCTTATTTTCGGTGTACTTTTTTTCAGGGGTATTTTGGAGCCGTTGGAGCACTCCTTGAGCTGTTGAAGATCCCCTGATTGTTACCTGGGGAGGGGTTCCTGGAACCTTCCACGATGGGATCTGTGGACTTTTGTTTTTTTAAGAGACTCAATTTTATGATTGTGTAGGGCCCGAATCAAAGCGAGAAAGGACAAGTATATTTTCCTAAGTCATCAAATAAATCCTTAAAAATTCAGTGTAAACTAGTAACCAGTAAGCATATATATATACATATAAAGCGGACCACATCCATGGCAGTGAGGATTTGCCATAGAAAAGCTGCTCTTAAATATAGCTTTGTTAAACCTGCTTTGTATTTTTGAAACTCAGCTTCACTCACTAGAGCCACTTCAGGGGAGAGCTGTTGTGTGCTCAGCTGACTATGGGTTTGTGTCCTGTTGAACTTGTTGAATGTAAGGCAAACTCCTGTGTGTTATAATCTAATCAGAATGTTGTAACAATGGCTTTGGAGGTCGTCTGTGCATTAAGTCTGATGTGCATTTAGCCTCTATGTGAACATGTTGGAAAATGTTTATTTCAAGGTTCTGCAAAACTTAATTGGGCAGGTTAATCCTCTACCTTTAACTTTGCCAATTAAGCAACTTTTGGAAGCATAGTTCTGGGTTCCTCTACACTGTAATCCTGGGAAGGGCTGTTTGGAAAGACAGGGCTTACCCTGGGCAGAAATTCCTTGTGCAGTGGGGGTATTACTGACTGGATGGAAGTGAGTCAGCTAGTAGGAAAAGCATGTCGTGAAGACAAACCAGACAAAAAGGGCCACTGGAATTGACATCTTTTCAAGGAACTGGGCAGAACCTTGTTATTTCAGGATAGCAGAAAGTGAAGAATCAAGGTGTCCACTGATTAACCCATGGGGGAGTTAAATCCCCACCCCCACTCCCTCTCCCCCATTGTGGAAACTTGCCCTGAAAGTGCCTGGCAGGCTGACTCCATCTGCCTGAGATGGAGCACAGGGGCTGTACCTGCGAGGCTCAAAAGGCTGCTGGAGGGGAGAGGTTTCAAGATGGAGTCTTGGTAGAGATTGACTTTGAACCTTGTCTTTCTGCTGTGCAGAATAATTTTAAAAATCCTCCTTGGAGACAAAACGTTTGTTCTTATTTGGTGCTTCCATTGCTATCACTGATGAAGGCAGTGAGGTTCAGTGTAAAGCAGTCTTTTAACTAGGAAACCCCAAGCTGCAGCCTGCGTGTGCCCAGATGTGAGGGTTTCAGGCTCAGTGAAGAGCCCAGCCTGGAAAGACCAAAGGTGTAGGTCGCTGAGGGTAGAGGGTTGGTGCCTTCTTAGGCAGCAGGGGCCTGTGCCCACCAAGGGTTTCCAAAGGGTATGACCCCCCCTTCAGCCAAGCTCCCTTGCACATATGTAGTGGGTGCTGCTGGCCTGGTGGAGCTGGGGGGATGCTGTAGGGATGGGGATTGGGCTGTGATACATCTCCCATTGCTCCTGCCTCGTGGCTCTCCCGGGCCTCAGCCTGAGCCACCTTCAGTCCTGTCCCTCTGCCCTTGGCACTTACAGATATGATCTTGGTAGCCCCACTTCCCCTCATGGCCAACAAAGACAGTGCTAGCACCTACACTCCCTGTACCACAGGGGGCTCCTCATGCCCCAAGCTCTCCTCCCTGCGTCCTCTGGGCAGAGCGCTCCTGACAGCCTCCAGAGAAGGGAGGGAACATACACCAGCAGCTTCCTATGGAGACTCAGCCTGGCCCCCCTGGCCCCTTGCCATGGGTCTGAGGCTGATGCCAGTGTTTATGTTGTGTTATGCAGCCCGTTGTTATCCTCAACAGTTTAACAGAAGCAAATGTGCCTGAGGCCATGGTGCTACCAGTGGGCACCCCTCTCCCTCCCCAGCATTTGCCTTCTTCCTCCGTGGACCCACCACTTCCTGCTCTTGAGACCCTCACTTCGCTCTTTGTGCTCAGCCCACACCACCACTCCATGGGAGGGTTCTTGCTAGGTCACCACTGAATCTTGTCACTAAATCTAATAGACGTTTCCTGTCTTCATCTTTCTCAATCCCTTCTTGCTTTTCCTTCTGTCTTTGCAAGCTTATTCTCCTCTGAGGATAGTTAGACATTCCTGGCCCCAGGAACAATCCTGGACCTCCCTGAGCAGTCATCAGCACTCTCCTGGAGTCTGATTTCCATGGTAGCCCTTGTGTCTGAGCTCTAGCTCCAAAGTGATGATTGCCTTCTTTCCAGTTGTGAATCTCCAAGGCCATGTCTACATAGAAATGTCCATATTTTTTCTGACTCCACCAGCATCCTCTCTCCCATCCACTTCACTACCTCCTCCCACTTGTGAGACGCTTGTAAAAATCTCCAGTCACCACTGCCACCACCCTGCTTGCTCTAAGCCATTGCCCTCTCTTATCTCAGCAGTTGTCCCTTCCACTCTGCCCTCTACATGCAGCTCGAGGACCTCATCCTATGCTCCCAAACTAGAGGCAGTCTCGGTGGCACTGGCTGTGGTCATAGCCCAGGTGAGAAAGGAATGCTTAAAAGGCTGTGTCAGGATGTGGGGGAGGGAGCTTCTGGAAGGGGGCACCTGGGCTTGTTGGTGAGTCTCAGTTTTGGACTGTGGTTTTTGGTTCCAAGTAGGCAGGTACCAAGTTGGTACCTGGGTTGGAGACAACAGGCCTGAGAGTGATGTGCACGTAGGTGGGAATTCAGTGGACATCCAGGTAAAGTGAGGATAACAGTTAAGAGACAGGCTGAAGAGTGGTCAGAGGGCACAGGTGGGGCCTGGTGCTCAGGAGGCTGAGGGGAGAAGAGTTACCCAGGCACCTGTGTTCAGAGGTCTAAGAGGTGGCCCAGATGTGGCTGCAGGATCATGGATGGTCTTGAGGGGAGCAGTTTCCCCAAAGCTATAGGGCAAAAGCTGTCCTAGTGAGGGGTGGTGAAGAGAAATGGCATCTGCTACCAGATGACTTTGGACCAAGAGGTGTTTATGTTCTCTTCCTAACAGAACAGTTGGTACTTCCAGAACTGAGATGGAGCTAGAGGGGTGAGGTGTGGCCTGGTTCTACTTTATTCCTCCCCCCCGCCCTCCCACTCCACCAGGCCAAGCACCAGTGTCCACATTTGGGTGATGGCTTATCTGTGTCCAGTTGCATCTGCAGTGTGGAAAGCCAGGCTGGCAGGTGAGGCCTTAGCTCATCACTGCTGACCTGCACCCCAGTGGCACCCCACATCCCATGACAGGCCAGAAGCCGCTTTTATTACAATTACATGTTGCTGATGACCAACTCAGGTTGCTAAGAACCACTTACCTTGACTTTTCCAGTTCTTTGCTGCATGGATTTCAGTGCTGGATGTGGGTGGACACAGGCATTCTGAGTTGAAGGGTACAGCTCAACGTGAAGTATTTTCCAAATCTGATTTTTATTTACATTTGTTTCAGTCAATTACATGCATGTTTTATTTTTTAAATGGGAGTAATTAGCAAAAAAATGCATTAAAAATTTAAAATAGCAATTAAATATACAAAAATATAGCTTACAAAAAACTGCGAATGTTTAAAAATATTCTGCTGCAGAATTCTTAGTGTACAAACATGTCTATGAAATCTGAGCTTCAGCATTTCATAAACCTTCTTTTTAAGGGAGTTAATGAATGACCCCAGTGGGCTAAACTACAAGACTGTAAACTACTCCCCTTCCTGGCAGTGATCTGTCAGGAGACCCAGAGATGATGGAACACTATTGGAAGACCTGGCTGTCACTCGGAGGGACTTCCTAACTGGCCCACCTGCCCACCCTCATTAGTGGGGCCTAGAAGAGAAGGGGCAGATGGAGGGAGAGTGTACAGCTGGCCCAAGACACAGGCCCTCCAGGCTTGTACTGGCACAGGGAGCTGGAAGGAGCTTCAGCAAAATAAAGACAAGTCCTGTGACCCAGGTAGGGCCCATGTTCTAGGCACATGTCCCTGGAGCAGGGAGGATGTTCTCCCTGACGTGGCAGCCGCAGAAGTGAGCACTGGACTGGTGAGCCAAGCGCTGCTGCTTGGTCTAAAAGAATAAAACTATTCCGATCTTGCAATAGTCTGGGCTCTAAAGCTGAACTGGGAAAATGACAGCTTTACTGAACATTTCCTCATTTCCTCAGTTCCCCTCAAATGGAAGCACATTCCATGGCTCATGGGATCCTTTAAGCTAAAGGACCATGACCCAGCATTTTCCAGTTACTAACTGTATTTCACAAGAATTTGGACATCATGAATTTAGACATGTTCATGCCCTTTACTCAAATTCATAATGGCTCATGTGAAAGACACCCAGGGCCAGGAATGGATAAGGACAGAAGGGTGGTGGTTCACACAGAGTTCCTATTCAAGGTTCAGGCTGGGGGGCTAGTTTCATTTGTAATCCGGGAGCAGCCCAGGGTGGCCAGACACCAGGACATGGGCGAGGACCGAGAAGCAGAGTGAGTCCATGCCCCTTCCCCCAGTGCCACCTGGACGAATCAGCCTTAAGTTTTACCTCCTGTAGGGGCAATAATAAAATAAAAAATTTTTTTCTTATTTTTAAATAAGATTACTGGTGGGGTAATTTCTGTTGTCGAATGGGAAAAAAATGCTGGGCTAGGGGGGAAATTCTGTGGGAAGCATCGTTTAGTGTGTGCATACAGTGGGGAGGGAAAGGGAGTGGATCCATGTACTCAGGGGCTTTGTGGAGTATCTGGTTAATCCTGAGGAAACTACTGCTTAGCAACACCTGCCCCACACAATAGATGGATGCTTCAGGCCTTCAGCTGCTGCTATGTCTCAGACTCCTGCAGGCAGACCTGGCTGCTGGACTTCAAGCCTCACTTGGAACGCATGGAGTGACGGGGGCTGGGCAGGGCCCCTGCAGAAGCTGCTGGACCTGGGCAAGAGGAACGCACTGGTGCTCTTGGCTGCAGAGCCTTCTCGAGTGTCCTGCTGCAGGTCAGAAAGTCTGCAGACTGGTTGCGCACCTACTGTCTGGGCATCCATGAGAAGGGTCAGGAAGGGATTGTACTTTCAGATTTGTATAGAAAACCAGGATTCTAGTATGCTGCAATCAATAAAACGCCTCATTCAGAAGGAAAGTGATGGCAGAAACATCCCAGTTCTGGGCTCACTTTTTACAGACAATGCTGACTTCTGGGATGGCTCTTCCCACAGAATAGGAATGCCTCCTGATTATACTTGTACAGTATCACATGAGTTAAAAAAAAAAAAGGTATATATATATATATATATATATATATATACACACATCTATACACACGTCTTCGCCTGTATATGTGTAAGTGGCCTCTGGAAGGATATATAGGAATAAACTAAATGCGGGTGCTCAAGAGGTGAGAAGTTGGGCTTGCTGGAGGTCAGGGTTTCAAGACTTTAAACTTCCAATTTGTGAACTGTGAAGGAATTACCAATTCAGAAAGTTGAAGCAACATTCAGCACTGAGCAGCAACACCATGGGTAAAGGTGGAGGTGGTGACTAGGGATGATAGGGTAAAGGGGGAGAGCCAGGTGCCCTGGAGAGGCCCCTCCACCTCAGTAATGGCCAGTCTTTCTATGGGACAACAGGAGCCCCAAGCAACCTGTGTGACGTGGTAACATCACGTAGCGGTGGCTTCCATGACTCCAGGCTTGGACATGGTGGCAGGTCCTCGGGGTTTGGTAAGGACACTTAACTACAGCTGCTGGGTGTTGAGAAGGAAACAAGCCCAGGGAGGCTAGCCTGCAGAAAGACACCTGACTGGTGAGTGGCAAGAGGGTGACTGAAAGCACTCTGACACCTCTGCCCCGAGCTCTGGGGATGGCTCCCTGTGTGCATTTCCTAATCTGTAGGAAGCCTCAGAAAAATAAACTAAAGTTCACAGTAGCACAGCAGAGGGGGAGTAATAGGCCATGGAGATGACAGGCTTTGGAGTGGAGCAGTGGGAAGGGATGACTCAGTCATTCCTCTGATGGATCTGAGGGGCTTGGTACTGGGAAAAGGATTTTTATGTGTCAGCCCTTCTCAAGAATGGTGAGAGGTCTTGTGTTCCTCAGCCCAGACTTCCCCATGGGCTACCTGCCCCCATCAGGCCATTTCTGTCTTGTCCTGTTACCTGTCTGAGCACAGGCAAAAAGGCCCTTACCTGCCAGGGACAGGCCTAACCAAATCACTGTGGCAAAGAAAAGCAGCAGATGACTGGTGTCTTATGCCTGTTCAATCAGGAATCAAGTAAGGCTGGTTTTCCCTGTTGCTAAAGCAGCTGCATTCAGCTGTACTCCTAGTAATGACGACAATGATTCAGCCACCCTCCAAGTCCAGCTGGGGCTGAGTTCTGCTCCACTAACCAACAGCACACAAACACCCAACCTCTGAGCTGCCTAAGACACAGTAAGACCAAGTAAAGAAAGTTGCCATGTCACCAGCCCACAGCCCATGAGCAGACTAGCGTCCCCATGTGTCTACAGATTAACAAAAGGTCAACAACTAGGTGATAGCTGTGGACAGGGTGGTCTCACTGAGAGGTGAGCCTAAGCCAAGATAAGGTTTAAAGAAAAGTCTAGATGGAGATTTAACCTCTTCCTTCACACAAAACTGATTTTAATCAGAATTAAAGGAAGACAATTGAAAGCCTGACCATTTGCAGTTACAGCAGAGCAGCACTGGGGTCTGAGGAGGGCCCCAATGGGAGGAAGGGCATTCAGGTGGTGCTGCTCAGAGCCACTGGAACTACTGGCCACCTGCAGCAGGACACTGAGCCACTGAAGGGGAGATAAGGGCAGAGGTGCATTTAACAAAGCCCCCCCATGCTTACAAGTGCAGGGGTCATCTGAGAGCACCTCATGGGGCAAAGTAAATCACAGTGGTTCCCTGTGGAAAGAGAATCGTATTTGCCAGCTTTCCCCTAATGCTGGAACTGAGTGCGGTGCCTCAGGCCCAGCGCCACACACCAACCACCTCAACTTGCTGTGACACAGTGAGATGGATTAAGTTGTCTCCCTACAAATACAGGGCCTTGGGAAGGCTGTCTCCTTAGTACCAACATCCAGGAAAAGGAAAGGGCTGCAACTGAAAGGCTGTAACAAGCTGTGAGCTGCACCCACTTGTGTAGAGTACTAGAATTCCTCTGAGGGGAATGCTCTTTCTCCTACTAGGACCTGTAACAAGGAGACATTCATCCCAAGGCCATTCCCTGGAAAATGGTGGGTGTTGGCCATTAATTGAGGCTAGTCCTGAAGCAAGCCTACCCTGACATTGGTCACTGAAAACATTTCACTGTAAATGATGCTCTACAGCATTCAACTACAGAAAACAGGGTGAGGGTGGGGGTGGACAAATGGTTCTCATGGGTGCCATTTGGGCTAAGGCTTCATGTAAAAATACCCCACACTTCCCTTAACCTGTTTTAGCAGCAGTCCAGTTGGCATACCACGAATGGGGCACACACATAGGAAACAGCCAATTGTGACCAACTGGATTTGTAATTTTCCAAACTGGATTCTGCCTAACACTTTTCTAGGCTAATGAGAATTTTCCTTCTCGTCTGACTCCAGCCACCTGAGCCAAGGACACAGTTTCCCCCTCCCATTGTACAGAGAGGATGGACTCCAGAAGAAATCCCTGGACATATGCCATGTAAAAGTAGCGGAGTGCCCTTCATCCTCTCCACACCTTGCAGATCATATTTTTCACTGAGAAACTGCCCGCCCTCATACGTGTGGGATGGAGCAGAGGCAAAGCTGTTGAGTTTCCCTAAGAAAGGAGGTGGTGGAGAGCAGGGCTGAAGCACAGAACTTACTATCTGACCCAAAGCTGCTTCACACAGCTAAGTTATACAATATTCACGAATCCTAATGGACTCTTGAGTCATTTCTAGAAAAGCTGGACAGACAGAGCCAAAGAGCAGCATGCATTTCTTTTCTGTAAAGACACTTTCAGTTAGTTACTGCAGGTCTGAATACTGAGGCACACACCAAGGGGGGACGGCCCTGCAGGAGCTTTCTGAAACTATTTACAACTTCAAGTGGATCTCCAGCTTCAGAATTACATAGGGATCTTATTTGGGATGGTTTAAACTGCTAAGAAGTCAGGATGGGCATTTTCTCTTAAGTAGAGACAGAGGGGGCAAGAAAGGGAAGACAGCAGAGGAAGGAAGGAGTGGGAAAGGCTGGCCATTCACAGAAACCTGCTCTCTCGAGCTTGCCAGGGCTCGGGACTGAGGCAGCGGGCCAGGACCAGCAGCGATGTGTGTGTAGGTGTGGTAGCACCCTGGGGCCCCCTTGCTCACAGGAACAGCGTGTGAAGGAGGCCCAACCCCTGCTGGGGCTCCTTTGGGCAGCTTGGCCATGTGGCACTGCTGAGGAGGAGGAGGAAGTAAGAGGAAATAGCTCCTGCCCAGGCCTTTCCAAGCACATCTAATGTTTTTAGCTCAGATGATTTGATTAGCAAGGACTGAACTTGAGGGAGATGGGGGTGGTAAAGGGCACTGCTGCTCTGTTATAACCAAAGCCCTTGGCTCCAAGATGGTCTTATCCAAGGAGCATAACGTGAAGAGCCCCGTGGGCACTGCCTCACCAACCACCGGCACCCGGTCGTGCTTCAGCTGAGGTAACTGCTGGTGTGACTTGGCTCCGGCTGCCGTGAGGGTTTGCTGCTGGAAGGCATGTGCTGGCTGCACAGGGGCCAGTCTGTCCACATGGCAGGGGGCTGGCTGTACAGACCTGCCCTCAGCCCCCTTCTCTAACGCCTGTGTTCATCTTCCCTTCTGCTGATAAAGATTCACCTTGGCATGGAGATAAGTGTCTGGGAGACAGTGTAATGGAGTTAGCAAGAGACCCTCATGAAGTTTCTTGAACCAAACCTGCAGGCTCAGCCACTCCTCTCCTCTTGGCGTGGGGTAGTGTCAGCGAGCTCTGGTTGTTACAAGACCCAGAAGGTCAGGGTTCCCAGCTTAGCCGGCCCAAGAGTTCTTCATGAGGCAAAGGAAGTGGCAGCTGGTGTCCCAGGTAGAGCAGCCAACACAGACAGCTCGTACTCTTGGCTCCGCGCGGATATCGGCTCCTGCAGCAGTTTGATCCTTGTGGTGAGCTATACAATGTTCTCGGCCCCAGGCAGGGGCCCCTGTGGGGGTCCACGGTCCTGCTTACTGTGCAGCTGGGCCAGCTGCAGGACTGGCATGTTGCACAGTGGACACACTTTCCGAACCTCCAGCCACTTAATAAGGCACCTGCAGAGTGAGACACCACAGGAGGGAAGATGTCAGGCCTGTGCTCATGGCATCCCTGCCCACATGCCTCACGTGGTGCACATGCCTGTCACCCAGAGCTGGGGCTGGTGTGAACAGCTGTTAGCCAGGAGCCCCACTGGGTGGAGGATGCATTTTAGCTCCTGGAAGAACCAGAGCCTCCAATTTTCCCAAAAAGGGTACTAAGAAGGCAGCATGCTGTCCCCTCAGTCACTCATGACTTTCTTAAAGAATGTAGTACACTGAGGTGGGTGGTGGCAAGTAGGAGAAATAAAATTTTCTAACAGAAATACAGAATCCATAAACTTGCAAGGAAAGGGGAAATACTAGTATGTCTGCAGGGAGAGGAGATGCCCCACACTACCATTTACATTCAGACTATTCATTTGGATTTAAAATAACTATGGTTTTGATTAAAATAAGTTAGTAGGAATTGAAGCTCTCGTTGGAATGTTCCAGTAAAACAGCTGTTTATTGCCTGGGCACCAAGGAGGTGTGGGCTCATCTGGCTCTCTAACCAAAGTCCTGCCATGGTGGTCATGTCCCACCATCCTGGTCCCCCCTCCCTGTGGGGTGCTTTCAGCTTTCTTCAGTATAGACCAGTCATGAAGCCAACAAGCTTGCCTGGCACTGCCCAAGCCCATAAATAAGTTGGGTCGGTGTGCCTCAAACTCAGGTCCCCTTCAGGGATTCCACACCAGTACTCACTTTCTGTGGAAGGCGTGCTTACATGGACAAATCCCCAACTCATCTCGAGGCTTGAAGTCTTCTAGACACACTGCACAGAGCTGAAAGACAAGTTTGCAGATGAGGCAGTGTCCCACAACTCATTAAGTGAAAGAAACAAGCTAGAACGGGTGAGATCTTCTGAAGACTGCTCTTCCTGTCACACGTTTTCAAGGCGGAGGGCAGACGGGAAAAGACATCAAGAAGCAGCTTCCTTTACTTGGTGCATCAGAAGAGTCTGGTTTATTCTCACTGGATGGGCTGAACATAATGTAACCTATGGCATGCTGGGGGCTGCCGGTCTGCAGGGAATTCTCTGCCTGCTCAGCAGCACAGGCCCCACGGGGCTCTCCTTCCTCTGCTGTCAGTGTGGAAGCTAACCACAGCATGCCTGCAGTAACGCACTTTTATAGTGCTTGGGAAGTTCATGCTGGCACTGTCCTGTTGGTCTTTGTTATATAAAGACACCATTATTCAGGAGTCACTCAACTGAAACCGATGGAAATGTGCAGGGGGCGGGCCAGGATTGTTCTCCTTCAGGTAGCTAGGCTCCACAGCCTGCAAAGAGGTCTTCCTCACATCCACATGCCTGGTTCCAATCATCACTTCTTGGGCACTTACCAGAGTCCAGGGACACCAAGTATTGTTGCATTTACCTGCTGTATAGATGAGGGAACAGAAGTTCAGAGCAACAACCACATTGTCTGAGGCCATGCAACTGGTGAGGGGCTGGGCCTAGCTGGGCCCTCAGTCTGTTGTACTGATGTGCTGTCCCATTTCTGTCTCCCACCCAAAGGGTGAACTCCTCCCTGCTTGCTTCCCTGTCCATCTCCAGGGATCATGTTTCAGCCATCACCATTTCATTCTCAGACTGCTGACATGGCCTCCCTGTCGCCTGTTTCTTAACCTGTAACACTAACCCAGTCTCTTAGGTTATGTGACAGAACAAGTGGCTCCTGGTGCCCCATGGCTAGTGCTGTGAATGCTGGTCTTCCAACACCCTTCTCCAGGGCGCTCTGAGTCTTGTGTATACAGCAGATGGCAGCCTTGTGTTTACATGATGCACAAAATTAACCATTTTAATGGTTAATACAGCAGACAGGATTTTCACAGGAGCAGAATAGATAATTGTCATCAGATTTGGCATTACTGTGGAGACAGCAGGAGAGCAGGGAGGAATGCTGGACAGATGGCTGGCCTTGGCTTGGACCCCCCACTGGCTGTGTGACCTCTGCCATCATAATGCCTCCTAAGCTCTGTTCTTTCTGTAAAGTGAGGACACCACCTGCCCTGTTCCCCTCATAGGAACATATCAGCTCAGGTGGCAGCAGGGCTGAGGAGGCAGGAAGGCAGTCTACCTATGCCAATTGTTTTTATTCATGTTTAAATTTCAGGATGGGAGGACTATTTTCAAGTCCATTTTTTGTTTTCTGGAGGAAGGTTGAGAACAAGCTGTATGCAAAGATGAGAAGCCAGCCGTTCTGGTCTTTGGGCCTCAGCTTTCCATCTGTATAGGGGGAATGCATCCCACCTCCTAGCCTGTGTGGACAGTCCCTCTGGCCTTAAATGCCCAGCTTCTGTCCCAGCACAGCCTTCTCCTGGAACAGGGTCAGGACTGCTGGATCAGCCTTCTGGGGATTCAGTGCTGATACTACCAAAGGGCAAGAGGCTGAGCAAATCACTCATTTCCAGGATCCAAAATTAGATTTGTAGCCTTCTCAAAATTATAAAGTGCTGTTATGTTCTTACAAACCCATAGTCACCTGAAAAAAAAATAGGGATTAATTCTGACATGCTGAGTGCTACAGGTGACTAAAAGTCAAGGGTAATCAGGAAGAGAAAAGCCTTAGCGCTGACTTCTTAGAAGTTCCTGGCAGGTTCAAACTAATTTTACAACATTATAGATCATATTTCCACTATTTTGACCTCAGATTGTTCCTGCAGTGTGATTCCCATCCCCTTTTGAAAGTGGAGATGTAATTCACATACTATAATACTCACCCCTTAAAGAGGGCAATTCAGCAGTTTTTAGTATATTCTAAGTTGTGCAACCACTGCAACTATTTTCCTGAGCATTTTCATCACCTGCCCCCAAAAGCCTTACCCATATGCAGTTACTCCCCACTCCCCTTTTTCCCCAGTCCCTGGCAGCCACTAATCAACTTTATGTCTTGATTGATTTATCTATTTGGGTCACTTCCCATTAACGGAACAGAATCATGAAATGGTATCATATAATATGTAGTCTTTTGTATCTTGTTCTCCTTCACTTAGTATGTGCCTGCAGGGTTCATCTACATTGTAGCATGAATCAATACTTCATTCATTTTTATAGCTAAGCAGCATTATAGATATACCACATTTTAAAATCCATTCATTTGTTGATGGCCACTTGAGCTGTTTCTATCTTGTGGTTATTGTGAATACTGTTGCTCTCAACATTGCGTGCAAATATCTCTTTGTGTTTTCAATTATTTGGGGCATACACCTATGAGGAGAATTTGAGGAACTACTAAACTGTTTTCCAAAGTGGCTGCACCATTTCACATTCCCATCAGCAGTATATAAGAATTTCAACTTCTCCCTATCTTCAAGTTATTCTTATTGTTGCTTTGCTTATAACCATCCTAGATGGTTAAAGTGGTATCTCATTGTGGTTTTGATTTGCATTTCCCTAATGACTAATGATGTGCATATTGGCCATTTTGAGAAATGTGTATTTTCTTTGGAGAAATGTATATTCAAATCCTTTGCCCATTTTGTAGTTCGGTTATTTTTCTTTTGTTATTGACTTATAAGAGTTCTTTATATATTTTAGACACAAATCCCTTATCAGATAGCCAACTGGTTTTGACAAAGGTGCAAGAGCAATTCAATGGCAGAAGGAAGTCTCTTCAACAAATGGTGTTGGAGTAAATTAGACATCCATAGGAACCAAAAGCATGATCTGACTCCTAAAGCACAAGCAACCAAAGGAAAAATAATTTATAAATGCAACTTCATCAAATTAAAAAAACTTTTGTTCTGCAAAAGACACTGTTAGGATGAAAAGACTGGGATAAACTATTTGCACATCTTTTTTTGTGGACTTTTTATTACTGAGTTGTAAGAGTTCTTTACAGATTCTGGTTACTAGACTTATCGGATATAAGATCTGCAAATATTTTTCTCCCTATGGGTTGTCTTTTTACTTTCTTAATATTCTTTGAAGCACAGAAGTTTTAAATTTTGATCTAATTCAGTTTATTTATTTTTCCTTTGGTTGCTTGTGCTTTATGTGTTGTGTCTAAGAAACCACTGTCTACACCAAAGCCACGATGATTTATCTTTTTTTATTTCTTTGAGTTTTGTAATTTTAGTTGTTACAAGTAGGGCTTTGATCCATTTTTGAGTTAACTTTTGTATGTGATATGAACCAGGGTTCCAACTTCATTCTTTTACACGTGGTTATCTGGTTATCCCAGCACCATTTGTTGAACATTGAGTTGCCTTGGAACCATTGTTGAAAATTGATTGACCATAAATGTATGGGTTTATTTCTGAATTCAATTCCACTGATTTTACCCATCTGCCTGTATCACACTGTCTTAAACAATGTAGCTTTGTGGTAAGTTCTGAAATTAGGAGGTGTGAAATCTCTAACTCTGTTCTTTTTTCAGATTGATTTTTGGTTATTCTTGGTCTTTGTATTTCCATGAGTATTTTAGGATCTGCTTGTCAATTTCTACCCCCACCCCCACCCCCCAAAAGGCAGCTATAATTTTGATAGGGATTGTGTTTATTCTCTTAAATATTTTGGGGAATACTGCCATATTAACATTAGTTAGTCTTCCAAACCATGAACACAGATATATTTCAATGTTGTTTTGTAGTTTCAGCATATAAATGCTTCTTTAGTTAGATTTATTACTGGGTATTTTATTCTGTTTGATACTATTGTAAATGGAACATCTATATACATAAAAGGTGTTGGTTTGGAGAGTTTTTCCTTCTTGTGATAAGTTGGAAATCTCTTCGTTATGACAGCACATTCAGTAGAAATTTCTGGTGTGCAAGGAAACCCTAAAAGATGCAGCTCTCTGGAAAGCACATTCTGTTATTTCATTGTCTGAATATTCTTTACAATGATTCTTGATGAATGACTCTTTCAATCTTGTAAACATCAGTGTGCACAGTCTTACTATTATGTATTTTCATGTCCTTGGGCAGGAAGGTTGGTTCACAGCTAGTGAAAAGCAAGAGGAGTATAAGTTTTAATGGCTGATAAACCTTCCATTCTGCAGGAGGAAGGGACTTTTCCTTTTTTGCTACTTAAGAATGTGGCAGAAATGTGTGCTGACGTAGTCCAATCAATCTTTTTTTCTTTTTGTAAATTTGGTCTCAGATTCTATTTCTGGAAGGATGACATTTTGAAGGAGCCACTGCTGGGACCGGCTTCCATTGCAGTCTCTAATGCTGGGCACCTGACTGTCCTCTTCTGTGGCTTTATCCAGGCACTGATTACTGTTCACAGGCTGCAGGGTTAATTTCACTGGGTTATACTCCCAAAGTTGGTTGCCTTTTAGATGGTGGTATTTGAGCATTGTGACCAGGCCATTAAGTTTGGAGACATCCAAGCAAAGGTCATCTGTTCTAACTTCTTTGTTAGCAGTATAAGAGAAACATTACCTCCCATACCATGACAGTTAAAAATTCCAACTTTTTCATTCTCTTTTCTAGCCATGTTGTCTAGACTCTGATCTGTTTTCATATTTCTTCTCTCTTCCAAAGAGAAATAGTGATGTGGAATCTGGGAATCAAGATAAATATTATCTAGGTACCAGGAGAAAGGTCTGCATTGTAGTTTGTGTCTTAGACCAAGTCTTGATGATATGTCTCCATAATCTACCTTTGTAACACCTGGACAAATTATATAGAAAAAATTCTTGAATTCATCCATTCACACTTCTGCAAGTCATCTGTTATTTTTATTGGTAATCTGCCCTGGGCCCCCAGGAAATATGTAAGGTGTGGCTTTCTGAATCACATGTCCAACATGTGAACAGGTAACAGTCTCCAAAGTTCCCTGACACTGCCAAATCCTAAAGGAAATTTCTACGTTTTCTCCTCCCCAAATATCCATTCCAGCATCATATGTTCCAATTTCCTGAAAGTAATCCCTGTCTATTGAAAAAAGGCCTCCTGCCATTGTAGGAGTTCTGATAGGAAGAGTCCGATCACCTTTCCTCCTGTCCATTTCTCTTTGGGGAACAGAATACCAGCAAAAATTGAAGTTCCAGTTGAAGCCACCATAGGTCATACCATAGCCTGCTGTGTATTTAGAGTATTGTTACTGATCACATCAATAACAGGACATGCCACTGTTTTCCTGTCATGTTTGGTCTTTGGCCAAGACAGGCTCCAGCCATCCCACTGTACACTCACAGTGAGCATCTAAGAAGGTGATCACTTGTCCTTTAGACACAGCAGCTCCTTTTAACCTAGCTCTCTGATCGATCCAGAACGTTGTTCCATTCAAATTACATGAACTGGTTCTTTAAATTTTTTCACATAACTCTCTAGAGGTCTTCTCAAAAAGTCTCTTTAACTGGCATCATCTACTAGAACAATTTCTTCTGCCATGTGTCTTGGTGAGCGATTAACGATACTATGGACAGTTCTCAGAAGTGTGCTCCAAGCCTCACTGTGGAAAACAATCACCACACTTGTTGTAGGAAGATTATTTGGATACACCTTTGTTTTACACCCTTCTAACCTGACATCTGGTAAATATCTGTTGAGTGCAATCATCTCACTTGCCATTAAATTGAACTGATTGATTTTAAACATCGCTTTCATCTTATCTTGATCCTCTTTAGGAATGACAGCTGGTTTCACCATTTCTCCAGGACCTTCCTGAGGCTTTTGTACTGGCTCTAGAACATACCCGCAGGAAGTCCTCTCTCCTTTTTTTATTACATTTGTTGAATTCACTGAAGTAAAGCGGAAGGAACACATCCAAGAGTACCCAAATCTAGGAGGTGGCTAGGTCCACCTTGCAATATGCAAATTTTCTCATGGCACTTTAAGTCAAATGCAAAATTAAAAAAATATATATATAAATATCAAAGATCATGAAAATTATTCCAATCCAGTTTCATCAGAAATCACATAACCTCCGTTCGCGTGTGGCGGAGGGCACTACTTTCGAGCTGCCGTCCACCGCCCCGCCTTCCCCGCCATTGCAGCCGGCTCCCCGGTGGGCAGGCCGGCCTGGCGCGGGGCCCAGCCTCCTTGCCGGCCCTTGCGGGGACGGTCTCGCTGCTCTACTACTGACCGCGCCGCATGCTGCCGCCTCTGCTGCTCGTTCGGGACCGCCCCGGCGCGGCGGGCCAGGCTGCAGGGTGCCCGCGCATGCCTCTCGGGCGCAGTAGTCACAGCGTGTGGCGTGCGGCCACTGGTGTGGCTGCGTGGGTCTCTATGGCCATTTGATTTTTGACAAAGGTGCAAAAGAAATTTAATGGAGAAGGCAACCACTCACCATAACCAGGCCTGGGGACCCGGTGGTAAAAAAGTCAAACACTAAATGCAAATGGTGAGTAGATTTTAGACTAATGCCAAGACTCTCAGGCCTTTCTTGGAAAGGCACAGATCTGCAAACAGATGGCCTGTTTCCCCATGGTAACAATTACCTAGAGCTGAGTGCTGGCATCTCTTTTACAAAGGACCTGCCTGCCCCAGAGCTTCCATGGCACCTTTCTGGTTCTCTTAACACCAAGACTTATATTACGTAACATTTATTGTCCTATTTGCACAATTGTTCTGTTGTTTCTCTTGGAAATAAGTTTCTTTCTACCTATGTCTCTATTAAAAGATGGAGGAAGAAAAGAAACAGGGAGGATGATGGATTTTGAGAGAGGGTATTTTTCTTTATTGAAGTACAATATATTCTCATGCTCTGAATATGTATATACCACTTCCTTAGTTTCACTTACAAAAAGTGTTAGCTTAACTCTTAGACTGGTAGAGAAAGCTAAACAAAAAGTGATATAAATAATCACAGCTGTAGAGTCAACTCTCTTATAAGGTGGGGGAAGGCTGTCTGGGCAGCTGAATCAAGGTCCCAGGAAAGCTCCCTTAGGGCTGCAAAAGCCAAGAAGAAGCCATGCAATCCTGCAATACCAGACCCTCAAGGGCTTGTCAGTGTATACTCAAGCTAACACAGCACCCTTCTGCACTCTCTAGTATGACTTTCTCATCTGGACTGAAACTTTTTTTTTTACTTTGGGAAATCAGTTTTTTTAAATTATTAAAGTATCATTGATATACAATCTTATGAAGTTTCACATAAACAACATTGTGGTTTCAACATTCACCCATATTATCAAGTCCTCACCCCCTCTATTGCAGTCACTGTCTATCAGTGTAGTAAGATGCTACAGGGTCATTACATCTTCTCCATGTGGTACTGCCTTCCCCATGACCTATTTATATTGTGATTGCGAATTACAGGGCTCCTTAGTCCCCTTCTCTCTCCCCTTTGGTAACCACTAGTCCCTTCTTGGAGTCTGTGAGTCTGCTGCTGTTTTGTTCCTTCAGTTTCGCTTTGTTTTTATACTCCACAGATGAGTGAAGTCATTTGGTACTTTAGTCTATAACTACTTAAGAGCAGAAATGAGTATTTTATGCTTCTTTGTGTCTCCATGGTTTAGTATAGTATCTGACGTTTTATGTATTCAATAATTTAAAAATTATTTTCAAAGTAATATGTTAATTTATTTTCCTATTTAAAAATTAAGAACATTACATATAAAACCAACATCCCTTTTGACCCACTCTTTTCCTTTTCTCTCCTCCTGTATGTGATCATTATGCATCTTTTTCAAACTCAGAAAAATACTTTGCATACTGCATATAAATCCATGAACAATGTGGCGTTTACCTTACATGTGTGATATAAATATTTATATCATTTTGCAACTTGCTTTTTTCGAGATTCTGCCAGAGATCTATACAATAGATAGAACTCATTCCTTAATTTTGTGTGCTTTAGTACCTCATTGTATGAATCACTGCATCAGGTTACCTTCCTTCCCTCCTTCTTTTTCTTTGTGGGTAATCTTCCAGTGTATCACGTTTTATTTATTCATTATACTACTGATGGATATTTAGCTTGTCTCTGATTTTCCATTATTATAACTATTCACTAATAACAGTATCCATATCAAAATTCCATGTGCTTACACAGGACCAAGTTGTATTTCACTGTATAATAAGGCTACAGGAAGCACAGGGAAGACAGTAGTGACTCTGTGGCATCTTGCTATGCTGATGGACAGTGACGGCGGTGGGATGTGTTGGGGGGACTTGATAATATGGGTGAATGCAGTAAACACAAGGCTGCTCATGTGAAACCTTCATAAGATTGTATATCAATGATACCTTAATAAAAAAAATAAAGAATACAAAAAATAAGGCTACAGGAATGCATACACACACATATGACAAAAATAGTTTCATCACCAAGAAATGCAACTGGAAAGGACCAAATTGCAAAAACTGAAGGATGGCTTCCAGCAACAAGCATAGAGCAAGGTTATGTTTTCATAGTTATAGCTTCAAAAAATAGGGAAAAAAGGGACCAGTAACTTGATCAGACTCTGCAAAATGAATTGGTGGGTGCAGCTGGGATACTGATGAATACATAATGATGCAATACAATGCATTTATTCAGGATAAAGATTCTAAACTAGTGGGTCAAAACAGTAAGGAAGAATTGTTTCTGATGAACCTGGTTATTCAATATTGCTAATGTATGTCAGAATTTAATCTTTCGATTTATGGTCATCAAAGAGACCCCAAATAATGTCTAATATGTAATAATATCTAATATGCTGGAACATATCAATTCTATGATTAAAAAAACATGCAGAAAGAGCAAAGGAGCAATAGATGATTTCAAAGTAGTCAACAATAATATAAATCATTATTTTTATTATTTGCAAATAATTCACAAATCAGCTTTCTTTGAAGAGACTGGCAATGTAGCTTCACCACTTAGGCTATAAAAAAACACAGCTATTACAAGCAACTTTCCAAATCATTGTTTTAAACATCAATTCAAGAACTTGGAAAGAGAGGAAGAAAAAGGGCCCTAAAATTAAAAGTTCTGAACATTTGTAGTCAGGGGCAACACAGGGAAAAAAAAGAAAAACAGTTTTACAGTTTATGTATCTTAAGGTGTACTGCAGGACACACACTTTGTATTTAAGTTACAAAGCATAACATAGTGAACATCTGTGAACCAAGCACACAACCTCATCGTTCGACAGTGCCAAGGATTCCTCTTTCCATGTATGTTCTTCCATTCCTCTGCCTTGCCTCCCCAAAACCCCACCCTTGTGAAGTAATCACTGTGTTTTCTGTGTCATGGGTAAGAAGGCACTAACATGGGAACATGATTTCAAGAGTGAAATTAGTGCAAATTCATCTTTGGTAGAAAAACTAATTTATATCTATTTCCTCCTCAAATACTATGAAATCTTACATTGGCACCATCCCTATTAAAAATATGAGCTATGTATCCTCTTTTTTCACATGAAAAAACAATGTGGTTACTGCACTCACCCACATTATCAAGTCCCCACCCATACCCCAATGCAGTCACTGTCCATCAATGCAAGTTGCCAGAGATCTACTATGTCCCTTCTCTGTCACACAACTTATTTTTATGTGATCTCACTCTCAAATCTTCTATTAAGCTGATCAAAACAAGTCTAATTTTTTTCATTCTGAAAGTTATTTGTGCATACCATAGTATATATACCACTATTAGAAAACAGCTCATTATTAAAATACTTATAGGTAACTTACCTCATGTAAATTCAGTTCTTTTACTTTCTCTTTTAATATAACCTGTAAGACAAAAAATATGTTCTTATGCCCAATTAAATTTGTAATTAAAAAATTTATTATACTCACAAATATATATATATTTAAAATTTTTTATTAAGGTATGATTGATATACACTCTTATGAAGGTTTCACATGAAAAAACAATGTGGTTACTACATTCACCCATATTATCAAGACCCCACCCATAACCCAATGCGGTCACTGTCCATCTAGTGCAGCAAGATGCCACAGATCCACTATGTCCCTTCTCTGTGATACACTGTTCTCCCCATGATCCCCCATACCATGTGTACCAAACATAATATCCCTCAGTCCCCTTTTCCCTCCCTCCCCACTCACCCTCCCATACCCCTCCCCTTTGGTAACCACTAGTTCATTCTTGGAGTCTTTGAGTCTGCTGCCATTTTGTTCCTTCAGTTTTATACTCACAAATATTTTTGTTTGGTGTATATAGCTCATTTCCTCTCCTATTCAGTATTGGAGAGAATCTCTTTTGCAGTTTAAGACATAACATTTTAGTAACAAGCAAGTGAAATTTGGAGAAATCTCTAAATTTTGAACCCAAAATGGTTTTATACAAATAATTATATTCCTGAACCGAAAATGGGTTTGAGGGCAAATCACTTTCAGAAATAACAACCAGAAGCTGCCATTGCAGCTATGCAGGGATGTACTAAATTTCCAATTAAACATATTTGAAACATATTTTTATCATCTGGTGTCTTTGTTAGTTTTATCAGTCAATTTCACCTTTTAAATGACCACCAAGGCCAATTTTATTTTCTAGTTAGCTTACATACAAATATCTTGTAGGTTGTCAAAGTTATGATAGAACTGAGACAAAAGGATTCACTCATTTAGAAAACTTAAAAATTCAACTCTGTATGAATATGGGAAGAATGTGGGGTTACCTACTGACATCAGTGTGGACATCTAAGAAACTCACCAGTTAGCTCGGATTTCAAAGAGATGTGGACAGAAAGATAGATATTCCTAAATGGCAGCATGGTTCTGTAACACCAGTGTTCGCAAGGTTAAAGACCCAAATAAGCTGAAGCTTACTCCCCATCTACCTGCTGCCAAAAAAAATTAAAAAACTAAGAATAACAAAAATAATTTTATGCTAGGGCCAAAAGAAAATTAAGAAACACCTTGGTCCATTGTTTAGTGTCAGATGGTAAAAATGTTAAAGGATTACACATGGAAGAAAAAAACAAATTTTACTTGGCCTTCAAGAAAAACTAAGTTTATTACCTTAAAAAACAAATCAGTAAAGGGTTAATACAAAGGGTTAGAGGTTAACAGTGATGTTCCAAGTATCTAGACTTCCAGTGGTGTGACATGAGCTAACATTTAAAGTACAAAGCGGAGGAGATGAGATTCATGGTCATCTCTGAGGAACTGGTATGTCTTTTAATGCAGAAAGAGGTAAAAAAATTTATTTAATGGAATCTCTGAACTCTATTAGGGTAACAGAACTCTAAGGATTATAAGCTATAGCATTTTCCTTTATCAAAATGTTCTTTAAAGTTCCCTGTTAAATTCTATCATCTGAATCTTCTGTAACTTCAAATAATACTTAAGAAAAGTACTTAAAGGGGAGATGATCTATTTTGTACTGCGAACTGGCAAATGAAATGCTAAAATGAACACAAGTAAATCCAGTCCTAGTTTAAAATATGAGTGGAAATCTGACTCATTTTTCTTGGTAAAAAATACTACCAAAGCCATTCTAAAGTAAATTTCTCACCTGTTTGTAGGCATAAAATTCTTTGTGTGCTTGATGTCTTAGCCTAAAAGAAATAAGCAATGTATACTGAGATTTCCAATATAACAATTTGAAAAAAAAACAAAACTGCTGACTTTCGGTTCTAATTTATGTATCAGTTATGGCTTAAAATCTATAATTTTTATTCTGGAATACACCCAAATGACATATCTGTTACCATGTTATGAGAAAGTAACAGTGAACTATAAAATGTTATCCAAATGTAAGTTCAAATGACATATTAAAACAAAATCTCAATACAACAAATATTTTAATGAAGCTTAAATTATTTTTATATTGATAAGCCACTTGTTTCAATATTTAATATATCACTTTTTTAATTGGAAAAATTTAAGTGTAACATACATCTAATAATGTATAAAAATCTAAAAAATGTAGCTAAATATTTTTAAAAATATGTATATATACATACGAGTGCAACTGTCACTCAGGTCAAGATATAGAACATTTTCAGTGCTCCTGAAATGACCTCATAATCAATATTTACTCCTAAGAGGTACACACTATCTGGATGCTTGTTTTTGAACTTCACACAAATGGATCATTTTGTATATATTCTTGTGTTGGCCTCTTCCAGTCAACAATTACTTGTGAAATCCATTCATGTTGTTGCAGTAATTCTTTTTGAGTGAAGTATGGTATTCCATTGTATGAATATAAAACACTCCGTTCTACTGTTGACAAATATTTAGATTACTTGTTTTGGGCTAATGTGAATAAAGCTGCAATACAATTCTTCTACATGTCTTTGAGTGGACATATAGACTCACTTCTGTTGAGTATATACCTAGGAGTAGAACTGCTGGTCCAAAGTGCTCGTACCAATTTCTACTCCTATGGGTAAGGCATGAGAATTCTAGTCATTTCAAATCTTTGCTACTGCTTGGTAGGGTCGATTTAAAAATGTTTAGCCAGTGTAGTGGCTGTTCAGTGGTATCTCATTTTGGTTTTAATTTACATTTCCTAAATGATGTTTAGAACCCTTTCATAATCACATTGCCCATTTGTATATCTTCTTTTATGAAATGCCCATTAAAAAAATGAGTTGTCTACTTTTTTCTTATTGATTTATAGGAGTTCTGTGTATATTTTATATGCAAGTCTTCTGTTGTGTTTATGTACTGCAATTATCTTCTACTTTATGGCTTGCCTTTTCATTCTCTTAATGGTATCTTTGATGAACAGGAGCTTTTAATTTAAATTAACTCCAATCTGCCAACTCTTCCAAATAATGTCAGTTCTTTTTGTGTCCAGTTAAAGACACCTTTTATCTACCCCCAAATCATGAAAATATTCTCGTGTGTACTGTGAAAACAATTTGTTATTTTATCTATCACATTTAGGTCTATGATCCATCTGAAATTAATGTCTAAGTTTGATGTGAGGTAGGGGTCAAGATTCTTTTTATCTATATGCAGATTTTCATTTGACTCATTTAGTAAAAAGACCTTCCTTTCCTCACTGCATCACACATCTCTTTCAAGTGGCAAATCTGCTGCAACTAGACCCAGTTTGTGGGTCTGTTTCCAGAATTTCTATTCAATTCCATATCCAACTGGAGCCTCAGAATGTAACTTATTTAGAAATAGAGTCTTTGCAGATTATTAATGAGGCCATATTGGAGTTAGGGTTAAAATGAGGTCACATGGGGACCCTAAATCCAATATAACTGGTATCTTTAGAAGAGTAGAGTACAGAGACACAGAGAAGGTCAGAGACTGAAGTGATGCAGGAACAAGCCAACCAACATCAAGGATTGCCAGTAACCACCAGGAACCAGAAGAGTCAAGGAAGGATCCTGAGGGAGCCTTTAGAGGGAGCATGGCTCTGCCAATACCTTGACTTCAAACTTCCAGTTCCACAACTGTGAGATTAAATTTCTGTTGTTTAAGCCACCCAGTTTGTGGTATTTTGTTACAGCAGTCCCGGGAAACTAACACACCTGGTGTCAGTACCATGCTAGTTTTTAAAACAAATTTTATTGTGAAATAATTTTAGACTTACAGAAAAGTTGCAAAAAATAGCAGGGTTCACATATGCCTTTCCCCAGTTTTTCCAGTGTTCATATCTTACACATCCATACTACAATGATCAAAATCAGGAAATTAACACTGATAGGATATTAGTGTTAATATTAACATATTATCAACTAAAGTCTTTTTGAATTTCACTTTTTTTTCTGTTAATGTGGCATATTGCATTGATTGATTTTCAAATGTTAAAATAACCTTAATTCCTCAAATAAACCCCTTTTTGTTCAGGTGTGCTTGTGTTTTTGAGGTACGATCTAAAATTCAACTGCTAATCTGAGATCTTCAAGATTTACCTGTTTTCTTCTAAGAATTATCTAGCTTTAGCTCTTATATTAGGTTTGTTAATCTACTTTAGAGTTAGTTTTTATATAGGTTATGAGGTAGAGGTTCAAATTCATTCTTTTGTATTTATTATTCAGCTGTCCCACCATTTGTTGAAGAGAGTATTCTTTCCCCCATTGAACGGTCTTGGTACCCTTTTGAAAATTAGTTAGCCATGGATGTTTGGATTTATTTCTGAACTCTCATTTCCATTTCATTGGTTTACATGTCTATTCTTATGCCAGTATCACAATGTTTTGAATACTGTAGCTTTCTAGTAAGTTTTTAAATTGGGAAGTATGAGTTTTCCTGTTTTGTTTTTCTCAATATTGTTTTAGGTATTCAGAGCCCCTCGCAGTTCCAAGTGAATTAATAAGGATCAGTTTCTCCACTTCTGCATAAAAAGCTATTGGAATTTTGATAGTGATTATACTGAATCTGTGGATGGCTTTGAGGAGTACTGCCATCTTAATAAGTCTTCCAGTGCATGAACATAGGATGTTTTTCCATTTATTTAGGTCTTCTTTAATTACTTTGAGCAATGTTTTATAGTTTCAATGTACAAATTTTCTATCTCCTTGGTTAAATGTATTCCTAGGAATTTTATCCTTTTGGATGCTACTATAAATGGAGTTGTTTCCTTTATTTCCTTTTCAAGTTGTTTGCTGGTGTATAGAAACAGAATTGGTTTTTGTGTATTGATTTTATACCTTGGAAGTTTCCTTGATTTGTTGATTAGTTCTAGTAGATTTGTTTGTGTGTGTGTGTGTATTCTATGCAATTGTCATCTGCCAAAGAGTTTTACTTACTTCTTTCTAATTGGACGCCTTGTATATATTTTTCTTGCCTAACTGCTCTGGCTAGAACTTCCAGTCCAATGTTGAATAGCAGCGGTGAAAATGGGCATCTTTGTCTTGTTCCTGGACCTTAGGGGGAAAGGTTTCAGTCTTTCACTGTTGAGTATGATATCAGTTGTGGGTTTTACATAAATGCCATTTCTTGTGTCTTTGATACAACTATGTTTTTTCTAGGAAAATGTGTAATTCAACTAAAATTTAAAATGTATTGGCATTGAATTGTTCATAATATCCTCTGTGATCTTTTAATATTTGTAGGATTTGTAATAATGTCCTCTTTTACATTTCTGGTATTAATAATTTATGTTTTCTTTCCTTTTTTTCCTGATCAGTCTTTCTAGAGATGCATCAATTTTGTTAATCTTTCCAAAGAATCAGCTTTTGGGTTCAGTGATTTTATTACACAGTTGTTTTCTATTGCATTGATTTCTGTGTGTGGCTTTTTGATTTGCTTTTCTTCCTTCTATTTTCTTTTGAATTTAATTGTTTTGTTTTGCTCCATGAAAGGAAAACTTTTATTATTGTTTTTCAGTCTTTCTTGTGTAATATATATGATTTTAAAAGTATAAATCTCTTTTAATTAGGTCAAATTTATTAATCATGAAGTTCAAATCATCTGTATACCTACTGGCTTTTTAAAAATTATTCTTGGTTTGCCATTTTACTGAGAGAAGTGTAAAGTACATTTTCATGTAAAGGAATAAATGAACTCCATTAACAGTCATTACAATGATGCTTGATTTATACATCTGTTTTGCTTATTTGACTCTTTCAATTGGATCTGCATATTTTCCTAAAGCATCATTACTTCCAGCCACAGGATGGGTCAATTTGTGCTCACCTTTTTCTTCAATCCATGGCTCAAAAATTCATCCCTCTAGGAAGTCCTCTTAAATTAACTTACCCTTCTGATTACTCCTTTATTCTAAGTCCCACTAGTTACCTAATATTTTAGATTGCATTATTTTTCATTTGCTATGCATTTAATAAAAATATTTTTTGCTATTTCTTTCAGGAAACATACTAGTAATATAGATTGTGACTTTTTGGTGAAAGGAGGTGAGAATGGGGAATATTTTTTATTTCCTTTTTCTTAAGTAGTTTGTTAGCCATTATTTAAAAGAAAAGTAGGTACTGCTCATTTAAAAATTCCAGGCTCAAAACTGAAAAAAAAAAAGCTTTAGAATAACCTTACCATGCAAATCTGTCTTTTGAGAGTGATTATGAAATTCTGAAATGGTTATTTTGGAATGAAGCTTTATAAACACAATTTATTTATTATTTTTAACTTTAAATGCCTTGTTAAATCCAAACAACATTTGGAGGGTTTAAAGTAACAACTAGGATCATCATGATTAAATTTTCAAAATGGCACTTGGAAATGAAGTTCAGAAATGTTTGAACATGACTAGCTTCTCTGATTAAACAAGATAATTTTATTTTAGTGTACTAGGTCCCCACTTATTTGCTGTGTTAGCTCAATAATAAAAAAGGATAACAATGATGAAGTGAAGTACAGCGATGCATGATAACAACTGCTATCCTTTTTTTCATCTCTTTATTTGCTTGCTTACTAAAAGGAATACAATGAGGCAAAATGGTGTTTCACGACTTACTTCTCAAAAACTTACCCAGAATCACAATTGGTATATTAGCGTTTTCCTTAAAGCAAAAAATTTAAAGGGTTAATTAATTCTTTGACATAGTAATAAAAACCATACTATGAGTTATATATTTTAGGATGTTTTATATATGATAACCCTTACTTAATGAACCTTATTATTTCTGCCTTTAAAAAAATTTGGTTTCAAATATTAAAATCATAAATTTCTGAGTTGAAAAGCCATGATTTGTAGAGCAATCACCAAAAAATTTATTAAGTCTGAAAAAAAGGAACATATTTTAATGCCATGAAGTCCTGTTGGTGCTATGGCTAATTCTGCAATTTCAAAAAATGCTGTTATTTACGTAACATTAACCAATTATGGATATGTGGGGAAAAGGAAATTCTAGAAATATATTTTTAAAAATTTTCCTTTGGTGCTACAGTTATATTAGCTAAGTATTTAATTTATCTCTCTGAGAAAGAACCTAACAATCATAAGCAACCTATCAATGAGATATGAGCAGTTGCACTTTATGAGAATTTCAGAAAAAATTCACTTTCTATGAAGAATGTAAATTCACTTGTCAGAAAATACACTCAATTCATATGAATTTGATCATCAACAAGTGAGTCCCCTAAAACACTGGTGACAACTATAAATTATTGCTGAAAGATATCTGATAATGGTATTTTCTTAACCATAATCATATACTGTGTAAACACTAAAAACTGTTAGATGTATGGCTACTTAATAAAATTCAATGTTCTAGTCTTTTACTCCATAAAGCTCTTTGAACAATACAGTATAAAAAAATTTTATAGTCTGAATTTTGGCTTTGAAAACAGACCTTAATTAAGAAACTTAAAAAGAGAAAAATGCTTCTTGCTTAAACAATTATAACTCAGTCAATGATAAATCTTTACTGGTCAAATCCATTACTCTTTCAACTGAGATGTTATCCTTCATACTTGTACATATGCTGCAGAGACTGTGGGATATTTATTTAGTGTTCTATGCAGATAATCAATCACCTGAACTCCTGACCAGCTGACAACAAATGAGAGCTTAAAATCTTGAGAGACCTAAGAACCTGTTTAAAGGCTTAAATCTTAACTTGGATGTTATTTTCTGATCTCTAATGACCTTAAGCTTTAGCTAATAATGATGCAACACTCTCCTATAAAGCAATCTTGAAATCTCTGTGAAAGTAGATTAAATCTTGGGGAACAATGACATAAGTATATCTGGACCAGGTGCTAATATGTTGGAAAAATAAATGACAATTTTCTCTTATAGAGTAAAACACCTCATTAAACACCTCATTAGCAGACAGGATTGTAGACTGTATAAAAGTGTTTTACTGATTAGTAGTTCACAGAAAGTTAAAATGTTAAGGTACCTTAATTTTAGGAAATTTGCTAATTACATGCTTATAAAATTCTTTAACCTAAGGGCAGAAAGTTGGTTTATTATTGATTGCTTAACATATTCTGAAGTAACATTAAATGAAAATTGATTACCTAATCAAGTAGCAACAGAAGAGTAAACTAAGGATGAAGACAAATATAGCAGTGCCAAAAACCACAATGTATATGTTGAGAGGCAGATTCTGGAACCCAATATTAGGCATCCTGAAGTTATAATGTGGGAAATCCGAGCTCATGGATGAACTATGGAGGAAGAAAAGAATGGAAAAAAAATAGGTTATAAAGATTCAGAACCAAGATAGCATTATCTTTGTACATGCACAGAGGCAATAATTTTCTTAAGCCTTGACCTGATGTGAAACAAATATAATACACAACGGGTTAATATTTTTGCCATTCATTAATTTATTAAGTACTTACTATGTACTTGGCACAATTCCAGAAGGTTGAGATACTCCCTAAAGCTTTATAAGTTATATTCATTCACAAAAAGGTATTTTACTGAAATAATGCCAGTAATTAATAAACATGAAAAAGTTCGTCCTCAAAGAAGTACATAAAAAAGGGACAAGTCTTCATATATTAATAACTCTTTAACCTTTAAAGCTGTAATATTAATGGTAAAATACTGGAAACAACTTAGATATCTCACTAAAATAATGATTCAATAATTATGTTAAGTCATTATAATGGTCATGAAATGAGGTCATGAAAATCTGTTTTCAATTAATTATAACATCAAGGGAAATATAAAGATATATAGGAAAATTAGGCAGGTATAAATTGTATATAAAATATGACCTCTGTGTAAAATGTTGGAAAAAAGGTGGGGGTATATGTGCATATATATGTGTATGTATACATAATAGTGTGTGTGTGTTAGAGAAAAGCCTGAAAGCCAACGTATCAAAATGTTAAAAACAGTTTGTGATTTACGAGTCATTTTGATTTTTTGTCTTTTAGCCCCCTTTAATAAGTCTGGCTCTGTTCTAAGCATTTTACTGGCTTTATTTACTCTTCAGATAAAACTTCTATAGGTAGGTACCATAGTAACCAAAGCTTAGAGAGTTTTGGTTGCTTAGCCATGACTGACTGAGTATGTACAGGAGCTGAGGCCTCGCCAATGTACAGTGTCCTCAGCCTCTATGCTTTATGATCTTTCTCATGTGTTACTTTCATAATCAGAAAACAGCAAATATTTTTTAAACATTAAAAAAGAGACTATTTCTGTTGGTTTGTTTGGTAATATTTACTGATCACTACACAAAGGTTTCATAAATGGAGGTTGTCCCCTCTTTTAAGTGATGAGATATAGTGATAAAGTGGCTCATTACACCTCACAAGAACTTTGTTATTTTAATTCACTACAAAATAAATGGCAACTATCAGGCCTGTTTATCAAGACATGATGATAACTAAATTATGACTGCTACCAAAAATCAAAACAAAAACTTGCCAAACAAACAAAACACTTCTACTTTACTTATACAAGGTAAACTAAAAATGTGTTTACAGATCTTTAGTGTCCTTTTTAGTTCTCAGAAGAGTATATTTATATTGTATACATCGAGATGCTGACTGGCTCTTTTTGAAATAGAAGTCTTATTACTTTATTTAAAAAAATTTTTTAAGGTAAGAAAGGCACTAGTTTTATTTATAATAACTCCAACCTAGACATAACCCAAGTGTCCATCGCCAGCAGAATGGAAAAACTGTGGTATAGCTACAATGGAATATTAGCCAGCAATAAGAAAAGGAACCACTGGCACATGAATAACATGGATGAATCCATTCAATGTTAGGTTGCATAAAAGAAGCCAGAAACCAGAGCACATACTGTAGGATTCCACATAACAGGGAGTTTAAGAACAACCAAATTGATGATGACAGACATCAGAACAGAGGTTACCCATGGGGGGCTATATGGACTGAGAAGCAGGGATCCTTATATGATGCTGAAAATGTTCCATATCTTGATATAAGTGGGAGTTATACAGGTGTGTACATATGTAAACAATCTAGCTGTACACCTAAGATAGTGCACTCTGAGTACTTGGCTGTATGTATGTTTCATCTCCAAACAAAAAAATCCTTAAAAGAAGACACTTGTGCAATTTCCATGTTGTGCATACCACACCTGTCAGACAGGCCAGACTATTTTTACTCTATTGCAGTGACCAAGATGTCACTTCACCTGATAATAGTTGTATGTCTATCACTGTTCCTGTTCCTTCTTCTGTACCACATCCTCCCATCCCTGCTACTCCAGGCACTGAGGTTCTCTCTCATATTTCTTTCTCTCCAGTAAGTGTCCCTTCCCTGCCCTTTGCTCTAAGGGCCACCATCTATGTCCTCTCCAGACCCTTTGTGGCACAAACCACCACCTTTCCTGGCATCCCACCCCTGGTAACCCTCAACTCCCACTACCCATCCTCCCTCATATCTGACTTCCATCATCATTTCCATGACTCATGGGATCTCTACCCCATTACTCACTGCCCTCTTCCTAATTGCCTGCAACTGGGCTTCAACCACCCTCTGTGCTCCTCCAGGTCACAGAAACCCTGCCAATCAGACAGTCCCCTTGTCATCAAGGGTTTTCACCCATTTGTCCCTTGGCTGATACTACAGACCTCCCCATCTTCATAGGTTACCATGAAGCTTCCCCATTTGGGCCCTCAGACCTCCTCTTTGTGCTGTCTTCCTAATCATCCTGTCTCCTGATGGGAAGTCTGCCTTCATGCCCCCTTTGTCTCTGTCTTCTCCCAGGCAGTCTGGTTCACTCTCACCTTAAAGCCACTGACTCTTAGCTCTACCTCTCCATCCTGATCTGCTACTGAATTGTTTGCCTTCTGGCATTTCCATGTGGACATGTGGGTGGATGTTTGCCCAGCCCAGCACCCAGTCCTCCTCCTAGTTAACAGCATCCTGCTTTGACTTTAAGGAAACCATCCTTCCTTCCACACTTTCTTAGCCCATGCGGTCTGAGTGGGGGTTAATGGACCACTCTAGGTTCCAGGGGTAAGAAGGTGGTATTGGCTTGGCTGATCAGAATCTTGGGATGGGCACAGATCGAGAAACTTGAGTCAATGGTCATTTCTTCAGGACTTCTCTGTAACTACTTGGAGAAAAGCATCCTCTTTGGGCTCAGGTTTGTCAGCTGGTGGGGAAGGTCAGAGCAGCAAAGGTCATCTGTTTCTCCTTTGGGAGAAACAACCCCCTCCACCCATGGTGAGGCAAGGCCCCTGTGTACAGAGGCAGCCCCTGTGTACCTGGTCCTGATGCAGGGCTGCCTCGAGGCCTGGGATCTCGTTCCCCTTCAGTCTTGGGTGGCTGCTGCTGCTGATCCCCTGCCACCCTCTCAGGGAGCGGGTGGCTGAGCCTTGAGCCAGTCGCCTAAGTTGTCTTGTTACTTTAATTTCCAGCTTCTATTAATTTATATCAGGAAGTCAGCAGCTGCAAAGAACAACTTCAGCCCATGGAAACTCCTCTTTGAGAACTTCCAAACTTAAATAATGGGTAATATTTAGTTTTGAAACTTTAGCCATTTTCTGCAAGTGCTTTTACTCAAATATATAATTTCCTTTTTCCTATAATTGATAATGCTGGCCCCCAAATCTAAGTAGATGGTGTATATTCCATGATGTTGATCTGGCGATATGTTAATGTTACAACATTTTCATCGTATCTTCTCAGAATGAGTATTAATAATCTTTTAAACAAGATGATCTTTAAAAAGAGAACTATTTGACCCCCTATAAAGGAGTTCATAGATAATTGTATCTAGCACATATAGAGCTCTAAGAAAATTACAGCTGTACAAAACTTAACTCTTTTAACTTCAACATGATGACAGGGCCTTACTTGATGACCCTCGACAGTCAAGACTTAGATGACTTTCCTTCAATCCCTTAGAAATATCCCTTACCAGTCAAACTGGGCTTGCTAAAATAGCTCTCACATTAGGAAATGGATTAAACATCCATGCTGGGAAGGCTAATAGAGAGGCAAGAGGCAGAAGAAAGTGGTGTGGTGGAAAAAGAGACAGGTTTACAGTCAGTAACTCTGAATGTTGTTCCCAGGATGTCACTAGTTAGATATCAATACTTGGCCCATCTATAACTCAATTTTCTCATCTTTCAAATGGGACAGGGCCTATCCTATTGACTTCAAGGGATTCCCGGAAGAGCAAAATGAGATAACAGGTATTGAAGTATCTGAAAACTCTAAGTTAGGAAAAAACACAAAGGTTTTACTACATGTTTGTGTGTGTGTATGTGATCATTTTGGTGGGGTCGTGGGGAAGGATGACATTTAAAAGTAGTAAACAACATAAAAGAAGCCACTGACAACAATCAAGTCCCTGGTGAGGATTCCACCAAACCAAATGCTCCTTTCTCAGAGAGCTCCTCTGCATACACTGCCAAGTTTTGTGTCAAGTGGTCTGACAACCTGGCCTCCAGAGATAGGAACTGGAAACCTATCCTGGCCAAAGGCAGTCATCAGTACAGGCCAGCTGGGCGTGAGCCTGCAGTGTGAGAACACTGCTCTGCTGGAGTCCTTGCCTGGACGGCACGACAACAAAATCTTGGGGAGTCTGAACAGACAAAACATCACAGAGTCCTGGAGGCAGACTGTCAACAGAGGGAAGGGACACTGCCTCAGGGCTCCTGGGAGCTGGCTGCTGAAACCTCCCTCTTGAGTCGTCTCTTCTTGGCAGGGCCTCATAACTCATTACTGGGGGTGAGGGCAGGGGCTTGGCAGAAGGTGTGTTGATGCAGAAGAATACATTTTAGGAATTTCCCCCTTTCTTTTGGTAAATGAAATTGCTCAGCTACAATTGATAATGCTGGCCCCAAAATCTAAGTAGATGGTGTATATTCCATGATGTTAATCTTGGTCTGGCGATATGTTTATGTCATAACATTTCATTGTATCTTCTCAGAATAAGTATTAATAATCTTTTAAAACAAGATGATCTTGAAGTAGAGCCAAGATGGCAGTGTGAGTACAGCAGCAGTAATCTCCTCCCAAAACCACATATATTTATGAAAATATAACAAAGACAACTCTTCCTAGAATAGAGACCAGAGGACACAGGACAACATCCAGACCACATCCACACCTGAGAGAACCCAGCGCCTCGCGAAGGGGGTAAGATACAAGCCCCGGCCCGGCGGGACCCGAGCACCCCTCACCCCAGCTCCCGGCGGGAGGACAGGAATCGGAGCGCAGAGGGAGAG